GTCATCAAAATAAATTTTGAACAAAGTCGATATTTTGGTAAATTTCTAGCTTTCTGTCAGAAAATAAATCTTCGTTCTATTAGGGGTAATTGGATGTAACTACAGTACAGCTGTACTTACACCCACTTTCACAAGCATGCAAGCTCACCTGGTCCAAAGAGCGGGAAACGGAGAACGAGCTCTCAGCTCTGGTGACGTCATAGTCACGTGACCTCAGGCTCATAATCACGTGACCTCCGACCCAATCAATTGGGTTCTGGCCTGTTCAGCCCCCTGTCACCCGATCTTGAGGTGACGTACGACAACTCGTTAACCCAATCGATGTCTGGAGGGCTGCAAATTTTCACATGCCAAACTCACAACGGTTTTTCGGAGTTGTGCGAGATGACGACACATAGAGGCCGCAGAATTATGAGGACTACCAGATCCTGGTGGAACCTAAGCGATCCATGATATCACGACAGGCCCTAAAAATCAGGTCGAATAAAACTAAACAGGCACCCACATCAAACAACTTCAATAGCAGAACGACTCGTATTTGGAACGTAATTGTGCCTAAGCTTGGTATACGTGACTACTGTCTAAGTGTGGCCTGCCTGAAGTCTAGGATGAAGCAATCACTGCTCGTCAACCAGCATAACCATGCTGATCTTGATTGGACAAACAAAGATTTCGAATGCTCTAATCTAAACTTTGACATTAAGTCTACCCTAGGGTCCACACATCCAAAATGATTATCTTGAAATTGAAAATTAGCTGGGTGTGCATTTTCCTTTGTCTTACTAACGTGTGTGAGCGCAGTGTAGTGAGAAAGTGTTTTTAACAGATTTATTATTAGACTTAGGATTATGATTTTTAATATATTACATTGATATAAGATTTATTTTTGACAGGTACTTAATAAAGTTGATGAATTTCCCTCCCTATTAAAATTTTAAACCCATTTAGTGAAAATTGATAAACGAAGATCTAGATATAAATCAAATCAAATCATATTGATACATATTATAACCAACATTGCTTATATTCTGCCTTGTAAACAAAGAGCAAATCTTCTTAATGCCTTCTTCCTGTCCTAAAACTAAAACTTCATCCTATTAAAGTAAAGGCCAGTTGTTACCACAAGCTATTATACCGTCCCTCTCAAAAACATGCCTCAGCCTCCATCAAAAACAATTTTAGTTTTCAGTCCTTCTAGTTTCCAAAAATCTACCGAGCTAGTGTTCTGGTGTGCACAAAAGCACCTAAGCCCGTGCATTCCTTGCCCCGCTAGCTGCCAGTCCTTGACAAACTTCCAATAGCAAAGATCAACTAGTCATTTACAAATTGAGCACTATACAATTTTAATTGTTTTAAATATTTGACTTTGTAAAATGAGCTAAAACATTGATTTATTAGTTTCATTGATTTATTAGTTTCATTGAAACGCACATATTATATAATATTATGGCAAATGCTACGAAGTAGCGCGCGCCGGGCCAAACCATTAACAATGGTAAACTTTTTATTTTTTTAAAGTAAGGCAAAAACCAGAAAACTAATGGTTTAAAAAATTTACAATAAATTAATTTTATGTAATTGTGCTTTTTACGCGGGGAAATAGGACACTAGCGTTTTTGATCGCTTGCGCTTGTTGATATATTTTAAAATTATCTCAAGTAATTTATTTAAGTGCATATTATTTGTATCACGTCGTGACCCACGGTCATTTCACTGTAGAGTTTCTACGTTGTAGCGCGATGCACTACTGGGTCGCGCGCGCATCAAATAATACTTCTCGCAACCACATGCAAATCGGCGAGATGCGAAGGATTGACATCGTGAATCAAGTTTCTACGATACAGGGGAGCCGCGCACGGCGGGTCATACAACGTATGACAACATATTATATAATTGATTCTAAATACATTGCAAATGATTTGATCTCGATCTATGAAGTTTGAAAGGAGTGTACTGCTTTATCGAGGGAAATATAATAAATTGCGCCATATTCAATATATATTACATATGATCACTTAATCTGCCGCAAATTTTGCGTTATGCTAAAAGTTTTAAGCTGTACAAAACTTGTCATACGTTGTATGACCCGCCGCGTACGAAGTGCGCAGCTCCCCCTGTATCGTCAGGACCATATCGTCAGGACCATAGTAGTAAAACAAAGTATTTTTTAGTAAAACAAAGTATTTTATTTATTAGCAGTGCAATCAATTCATATGATATAATTATAAGAATATAATAGTACGTCACACCCAGTTAACTGTTACGTTCGAGTAGTCGTGCCATGGCTAAATTTAACTAGGACCAGTGGTGTCGATTTACATTTAAAAGGTGATTCTAAGTGACACGAATGGAAAATTTTAAGAAAAGACGGATCAAAACACAAATCCAAGGACAAGGAGACCCCACTGCAGGACCATACATGATATTGGCTTGTGCATGGCCCAAAAGGTTCCAGTTGTCCATACCAGGAAACTGTACGTAGCTGGTCAACTAGTTTTGAATTCAGACTAGGCTTGATGAGTTCTGGGGTTTCTAGAGTTAAGATTTGATGGTGCCAGGTTTGTTTAGGCGGACATGGAAATTATGCGAGGAATATATAGGTATATAAAAATCATATCAATATAAAAATAGATCCAAAAATAGATCCAAAGATTCACACGGCAGTCAGGGAACTTCCAGACAGGATGCTTTTGAAACAGGTATAGTGAAACGACCGTGGGGGTCGCAACGTGATACAATACAAAACCATATAAATTGAAACCACCAACATTCAAAATATAATAAAGCGAAATATTGTATTGCCGTTAATTAAACATTATTATATTAACAAATAATTTATTGCTTTAGAATGTGGAATGAGATAATAAATAATTGAGCCGCGCAAATTCTGGGAATCTAAAATATAGCGCACTAAAAGAATCGAGCGCTATCCTTGAATTATTCAAAACAGTCAACAAAGCGTGTGCACTAACTTTTTGATGTTGCCGATTCTACAGTGCTATACTTGCTGAACCGCCGTCATGATTACAGCACGATGGTGTTGCATTTGTGTGAGCTGGAGATTCATAATTCATACAACAGCCTCTCTGTTTCAGAAATAAAAGACATGTGATGATCGTGTTCAACTTTCTCTGATATACAGGATTTTTAGTTATCATACCTACATTGCTTCTATGTTCCGGGAAGGGACTTTCCTCATTAAACCATCAATCACAGATATCCCGATCATTCAGCTGAGTCCACTGAGGTGATTCTACACAGTGTTGTAATATTGCTTAAAAACAATGATATTATTGGGATTATTAGCTCACCTCTAGAATAGGTGATGCTGGGATTTGAATCCCGTACCGTTCAGAGGTGGTAGTGTTTACCAGTGAAGTCTGTTAGTTTGTACTGTTTTATTGGAAGATTTGAGGTCCGACTTTGTTGTGTGCCTTTAATCACCGAGGCTTGTCTCGGTGGCCCGAGGGCGACTCGGGCACTTGACGATTGTGAAACAGCGATTGTAAGCTGAAAGAAGAGGGGCCTCCAAAAGATCCTGAATCTTTTGCCATTGCCGTAGTCACTTAAATAGATGTCTTTTAAAGTCAATAAGTAATCAATGATCAACTTTCCGAGTAGATGTTAGCGTTGTCCTTTTATTAAAATTCCAATTTTTCAGGAGGTGACCGGGAATCCCGGTCCCGATCCCGGTCAATCACTCAAATTTGCCGGGATTTTGACCGGGATCTTTTACATAATTTCATTCACTGTGATTTTAAGTTTTTGTGAATTTCATCTTTGAACAACCTCTGAGCCAAATAAAACAATGTTTAAAATTGCTAAACAAGTTTAGGTAACTAATATCGTTACATAACTCATAAGTGCAAACTAACATCAAGTTTTCAACTCGGGCTACGTCCAATTGTCAATTGGAATTGGAGAATGAAACTGTTGAATAATTTGAGGGATCATTGATTGAGGAGTGAGGTATGAGGGTGAACTTGAGTAATCAGTACATGAACATTATTGGTGTAGTACATTAGGCCCATGCCCCATATTGACGGTTTTTTTATAGTTTTTTCTAATTTAATATTCTAGTTATTACTTATTCAAATTGTTCAATTATAATGTAAATGAAAGTTGCAGCTTTCAATATGAGAATACCAGTTTTGGTCCCGGTCATCCCGGTCAAATCTCGGTCATCCCGGTCATCCCGGTCAAATTGGATTGTTGGTCCCGGTCCCGGTCCCGGTCCCGGTAAGATAGAAATCCCAGAAATTATTGGTCCCGGTCCCGGTCACGGTAAATTGATAATCTCGGTCCCGGTCCCGGTCAAGTCACATTTTGTATCCCGGTCCCGGTCTCGGTCCCGGTCAGGCCTAAAATCATGTCCCGGTCACCTCCTGCAATTTTTTAATAAGTGTTCATGCTATGTACAAAAATCCCGTAATCAATTTATTTTCATAACAGCATTTCGTAAGCCCAACGAGAATTTAACGTATTACTTGGCTTAGAGTGTTAACGAGTAAACCATACCACAGCACACAGGGGGCCGTGATTGTAATAGATTCTGTGTTTTAAAATGTTGTTTAAATAGGAAAACAAGTTTCTACATCTACAGCTTTCTTGCAGGATAGGGTTATTTTAATTTTGAACATAGTTTGAAAAATGTCTTGCATCATCTTTGCACAGCTTGGGCCGGTGATGTACTAGTGAGTAGCACATGTCATTAAAAACTTCTGAGGGACGGTTATGTTAATAATCAATTGCAATTTAATGTTACATTATTTCCAATTGTGTGGTGAAAAAATCATTACTAATTAGCCTAAAACTCTAGGCGTTATCAATACTTTCCCTTACTTGACAAAGAATCCTCCTTGCTTGATAAAGAAACCCCCCACTGGAATATCAATAATTGCATGTTTGGATGAATGAAATTATCTTTGGTATCGAATTTGATGTTTTACAGTAATCGTTCATCTCAAATCAGTAACTAAATTCTCATACAATCTAGATATGGAAACTTCGGTTGATTCTAATGGAATAGAGCTTGTTTCTATGGCAGCCATTGAGGATGAGGTGACTATCTTATATCCATCAATTTATTGAAAATTTCCATGCTGGACACTTTTAAGCATTTAATAATCACTGACTAAAGCTTTAGTTTTTGATTGCAACTTAATTAAATTATGACAAACCATCAGTTTTATTTACAACTAAATGATTTAAGTCTCTTTTTTTACTCTATGTTATTACTCTCAATCATATTCAGGCTGAGAAACGTGCACACCATAATGCGTTAGAACGGAAAAGAAGGGATCACATTAAAGACAGTTTCTACTGCTTGCGGGATGCTGTCCCCCAACTCCGTGGAGAGAAGGTAAAAATTTCAACTTAGATCAGAAAATGATCTATTTAAATAGTACTGTATGTGTAACCTTACTATTGTACTAAGTTCAGTATCCTATAAGTTATTGGTACCATGAATTATTATTCAGGCATCCAGAGCTCTTATTCTGAATAAAGCCACGGACTACATCAAATCGTTGAAGGGCAAAAACATGTGCCACAAAAAAGAGATCGACGATATCAAGAAACAGAACGATGTTCTGGAGCAAGAAAGTAAGTACAAAATTATTGCCCATTCAGCTCGTACATATTATTACCTTATCATTCTTTTTAATCATCCAAAAATGTATTCGTCATACTATACTTTGAAGGTTTTAAAATGTTAAATATTCAAATTATAATATGATGAACAAACTTATTAACGATATTCTTCTCTTCCCAGTCGATAAGATAATCAAGCTAAACAACTCGCTTGGTAAGGATCGTATTGAGCTAGTTGGTGAAGAGTTTGTTAAAGTGGTTGATGGGAACACGACCGCTGGTAATCCTCAGTCCACACCTCCTACCTTTACGTAAGTCTGAAATATTTAAGACACTTTAAGACAACTATTTGAGATACTACAACAATCTAAACGACATTGTCATACCCGTGGTCGTAATCTTCACAAATATTTTAACATTTCCTCTGTAGTGCCTCCTTCTAGCTGATTTAATTTGTATTCCCTCAGACGGATAACGGAAAAGGATAAAGGACCGTGTATAGGGAAACGGGAACTCGACTTTCCCGATCTTGAAGAGGGTTCTGAAGATGTCAAACCTGGTGACAGTAAAACAACCGTAATGAAGATCACAAAACCCCTCATCAAGTGAGTGAACTTTCTCTGTCCTCGAGCAAATTACTTCACGCTCACCTGACTTTATTACCTGGTCCAAATCTTTCTGTGTATTAAGTGACCTTATACAGTAAAACCCCGATTTACTGCGCCCGATTTACCGCAAATACCGCGGTCATTTTCTTCCCCTTAAATGGGAGCTTAACTTGAATACGACAAAAATCAAAACCCTGACTTGCTGCGGACCACGACATATTGCGGCTCTCTCATTTAATTTCCCCCAAACTCTGGGGTTTTACTGTTCCAAGAAATTAAGAAAAATTAGGAGAGAAAATCTCGAAGATAGCCTTTTTCGTGAGCCTTAATTAATGGGAATATTACTTTATATCCAATAACCATTTACCATGTCTTACTTTTCCAATTTCCTACTTCCCGATTTTATAGTTTCGTGCTATAATAAATTAGCCCAGGAGCTTAATTAATTTAGAAATAATAGGATGATCTCGTATGTCAATGTAAAGGGAGCATTCTCATTGCACAACCCTGACTCCTCTATGATCTATCCCAACCTCAGCTTATTCTTCTTGTTACCTTTTAACATTATTCCGTATATAATATAATATTATATACTATACTTCGAGTGTAGAATGATTTATAGCACACTCGACAAAAATTTGCAAGTCTGTTGAAATCTTTCTACTCGCAAAAGCCAAATTTTTCTTCGTGACACCGATGATAAATGCGTGAGGTCAACCGGGACATAATATAATCATACGAATTAATTCTGAACATTTAAACTTGAAAACTGTTTAATTTAAATAACATTTACCCCGACAATACGTGCCCTACCAGTAACATTTTGCCGCTGATCGCAGCAAATTGTCTTCTCTATGCAGTATGTCTTATGAGAGCGAATAAAATTCACTCCTCATCCTGTTCGACTAACTCCTTCTATCCCCCAGAACAGAGAATGTTTCAGACACCAAGACTGATGTGAAGAACCCAGTGAGAGTCAACATCGGCTCTGTAAAACCACAGACCGCCAAGATAGCATTTGCTCAGTAAGTGGATGCTATTAATCGCCAACTAATTTAGTTCAAGATCGGTATTTCCATAACTAATTTAGTTTATATACGCTGTATTTGTCTACGTTTTTGCAAGATACGGTTCTGCTGTTCTCCTTGCACTGCATTATATAACTTTTCCACAAAATTCACACCCCTGGGTTTTTTCACCGCAAAGATCATTATGTTAGGTCTACTTAATTTAATTCCACGAATTAATTGAACTCGTAGAACTAAATCATTATATTGTTTTAAAGAAAGTGAGAGTCATATTCTGATATTTATGATCTGTTGAACTGTCCACACAGCTTCTTAGCAAGGCTGATATAACAAGAAACCTGCTGCTCAGCACCGGCGTACTTGACCGGAAGATTGTTTCTAATAGAACTGTGAACTGTGCTATCTATAAGTAACCAAGCTGATAGGAGTCAATATCAAGGTAGCGAGGGTTGACTGTTGAGTTATGGAAACTAGTCTTGTCCACTGTAATTCACGTGATACGTCACGTGATTCTAAATGCGTGTTCCCATTCTGGCAGCTATATAAAGCACGTTCCCGACAGCAGTGTGTATAAAAATAGCTCTCTCCACATGTGCCATGCTTACTCCATGCCTAGATTGTATATCCGGCTAGACGCCAGCCAATCAGATGTCGTTATAATCAGCACGTGACCTTGTGCAAGCAATGGGCCTGAACTAGGAAACCAAGCTCCGCCCCGATTGGCAGTTCGTCGATACGGCAATTTTTATTGGTTAGCAGTGATTTGTCTTCGCTGTGATTGGATGGTGTGGACCGTGGTGATTTATATATATCGTCCTGAATTGTTGATGAATTGGCGGTAAAAATGGTTAGACTCTACGCCATGTACAAACTTGTACTTCGTATGTGGTTATAGAATCTATAACCACATACGAAGTACAAGTTTGTATATTATATACACAGGGATACGCTTTCATAATTGCATTGGTGATTAATTACGGAATTGATTACGCGACAATTCCTATAATGCAAATGTACTGCTAAAATTTATTGAGATCAGGGGATAGCAGTTTACAGGATTAAATTATATAAATTAGTTTCGATATCTAGTACCGTTAAGGTCTAGAAAGATGTATGATTTTCTAAATGTCATATTGTGGTTGCGGTGCGGTTGAAAGATCAATTAGATTATTGGGAGCAATTGTCACTTGTAACAAGATCACTTGCACCCAGAATCGGACCAATATCCCAGCTGCCCACATCCAGAAAGTTTTATATTTCCTCCCAGATGCGTTTTTTTCTAAATTCTGTGGCCCGCTCGCTTCGCTTGCAAGTTTGGGGAGGGGGCTGTCGGCGAGCGAAGCAAGTCGACGTGTCCAATCCAGCTGCGCAGCGAGCAAGCTGTGGCTGGGGTCGGGGGCGCAGCCCCCAGCAGGGTCTAGGGGCGAAGCCCCTTGGCGGGGGGCCAGGGGGCGCAGCCCCCCGGAAATTTTTTGCGAAATAGGGTGTTTTAGACGGCATTTGGCATTAAAGAAATTTGTAGGACAGCAATAAACTGGGATTGAAAAGAATCAAGTAATCACGTAAATTTGATAACTTCACAACAGCAATCTGCATTCTCCAATCAGAATATTTCATTGTGTTCCAAAACTGACAGGATGTTCCTCTTTGATTTTTATACAATCGAAACATTTTCTTCAAAAATTTCCTCAATTAATTTGTCTTCATTCCAAAAAAATATTTCGAAATTTAGGAGTTACTTCTCAAAAATTTCCTCTTTTTCTCCCGTTTTTCCTCCCAAAAAAAATTTCCTCCCAGGCTGCCTGGCAAGATGGCGTGTTTCTGGATGTGGGTCCCAGCACGTCATTTTTACCTTTCTTCGAGATTGATTTAGGGCTGTTTCTATTTTTGAGATGTATACAAATGACTTGCACCAGAGCCACTCAGATATTTTAATAATATTCAATATTTTTATCCTTCAGAGCCGGAAGTGCTAATAAGAACGGAGGAACCATACAAATCCCCGCATCAGCCCTTGCAAAGGCTCTACCTAACGGATTTAAAAATGTTACGGCGATTTACAAACAAAGTATGTTGGATTGTCTGTTGTCTGTTTTTCACCATTTTGATCGTCCATTCTGGTTATAGTAACACTAGTTTAATGTAGTTAAACGTCTTTTATAAAGATAGTTTTAATGCTTTCAGCATTAAAAATGCTTTTAGCAAGTAAATATTCATTACATATAATTTGTGATAGATCTAACCAAGCTAGAGCGTGAGCAATCTATCCAACTTAACCCGAACAAATATTTTCAGCTGGCAACAACAAGCCAATAAGACTGCAGATAATCACTCATAATGGTGCTACGACTGGAGCCAAGGGGGCTCAGCTCTTCTCCGTTAAAACTAACAGCCCCAAGAAAACAGCTCCAGATGCCAACAAGGACAAGCAAGATGTTCAGGACAAGAAAGACGGCAACATTGTAAAAGATTTAAAGGACATTGCTATCAGCAGCGAGAAAAAAGAAAAGGAAGCTGAGAATAAAGAGCCTGAAGAAAAGAAGGAGGAAGCAAAAACCCAGGGTGAAGCCGCCCCTGCAGTAACTTCCACTGAAAAGAAACCAGAGAGGAGACCCATGTCAGATGGCCCGAGGACGCCGCAAAATCAGCCACTATATGCTCGACATCGCATCCTCCACTCAAGTCCTTCAAAAGAAAAGAAAAACTTAAAAGATAAGCCGGCTGAAAATACAGGAGCATCAGAATTTGATTCCTACAAAACGGAACCCAATTTCCCTGGTGAGGGTAACGCTCCGACGATGACCCAAAACAAAATGCAGGCCCTGAAAAGGGACCCCAGTGCCATTGCTACGATCAGCGAGTCGGAGCTGGCATTCCTGACCAGACCTACTAACAACGCAGGTAACTTGCGTAACTTGTTTAGACGCGCACACTTTTAGCTGCTCACCACCGTCTTCTCTGTAGATTGAAACAAGTTCCAGAGATTTTATACCATGTGGGAATTATTCCGAAATCTTGCAATTATTTTATTTTTATTTTAACCTTTTTATTTCTTCAAGAGCGTGTTTAATTGCATTTTAAATTTTAAAGGGTTTTTGAAGGATGGGAATAAAATCAATGGATCATGTTTCAATCTATAAGATGTCATTTCATTGTTGCTGTGATCATGTTTCAAGCACACTTTCATGCTAGTCAGCGATTTGAATAATGATTAACTGTCTGTTTACATAGCAATGCGAGTTTACGAAAAAAGTCGGCGACAACTTGGCTTGTATTCAATAACAGTAGGGCAACAGTAACTAAAACTACTAAAATCCCCAGCTTATTAAACTCAAGATGGTAGAGAGTAGAGACTAACACAATATGAGAACAATAACAACATAACCCTAAAATAAAGAGAGAGAAATATTACAATAATTACATTCCAAATTATCTTATTACACCATGTCATTGGTGAAGTAGGTAGTAGTTCACGGCAGAGTTACACAGCAGGGAAAGATAACGGAACGGCAGTGAGTGACAGAGCTTCGTCCAAAGAAGGGAGGAATTTGGCTAACAAGATCGAACATGGCAACATTCCCATCCTATACAAAGGTTATTTGTCATAACATGATTTTCCTTGTTAAATTCGGACCATTATTGGTCTTTGAACGCGATAGATTATCGATTACCTGCTTCATCGAGATTAATTAATTAATTCATTAACTTTTCTAATTGATTGATTTAATGACTTAATTGATCAGGATCCCTGTTATCTGACCGTGATAAGGAGATGGATGATATGAAGGAGCCAGCTCAGAAACTAGTTCTCTACAGTGCTAGAGCTATGGACGTACGTACATTTCTTAAATGTCATCTGTTTTAGACTGCTCTGTTGTGTTACGTATAACTGATACAAAGGGCATGGGGTTTTTCCACTTTTTTTTTTCAGAAAACCGATTTGTTGAACAATTATGTCAAAAGTAAACCACCCCCCCCCCCCCGTCCCTGCGTAGGAAAAACTCCACTTTCATGAATCAAATCAATTAACCAACTCATTAAATTAAACCAAGAATAAACTTCTATATTCCAAATTTATTGAAATCTCAATACATTGATAACGTTATACTATCACTAATAATTGGCTTACTAATAAGCTTACATATTACTAATAATTGTAAATTAGTAATTTAATATTACTAATAATTAGCTCGAAATGCGTAGAGCTGGTGACACCTGTTTAAAAGGACAGGTGTCGCAAAATGAATAAAAATGGGTACAGAGATAGTTTAAGATTGACTTTTCTGATGTGATAAAGTTTACAAGAGCAGCCAAAGCATGTCTGTAACATTCTTGAATCTAGAATTGTACATTATGCCCATATTATAAGAGACATTAGTCTCAGGAATCCCAGTAACCTGGCTATTCTGTCATCTATAACAAAGTAGATAATGATGTATCTCATGATTAACCCATATTACGACTGCCAGCTATAGAATCGTATCTCTGTCGAGGGCTCCGGAGTCCGGGTACGTGAAGATAGAACGGTGCACTAGTAGGGGGGGGGGGGCCGGGGGGGGGGGGGCCGGGGGGGGGGGGGCTACTCGGATCTTTTTAGAACTATTTAATGTATTTGCCCCAAGTGGATTTTTGGAACCGTATAAGTGAATATCATTGCAAAGATTACAGGGGGGGGGTCAACCTCATTTTACCTCATGAGGCTAGCCAAAAAAGGCAAAATTGGGATGAGGTAAAATGAGGTAAAATGAGGTAAATAAATCTAGTTTTCTAAGCCTTTTTTTAGAGACAAAAAAGGTTTATTCGAAGTTATTATACTATAATTCGAGGCTGTGCATGGTCTCCCATGATATTTAATGGTTTATTAGGGGTGATGTGGTCCCTGGGAAGGGACATTCCCAGTTTAACCTACTTACTCTCCAAACTTGGGGTAAATAAAACTTCGCATTATAATTATTATTTATGAAAAGAAAATTGAACATTTCAATTTCCATGATCCATTAGGATATTGTTAATAGCACTTGCTAAGTTTTGTTAAGGAATTAGCAACAACTTTAGTGTCACTTTGGCAGTTGCCAATTTATGGGGATATTTCCGCATTGCATGACATGGACCATTTAAATAATATCTTAATTTGATATTGCGATTATCGAGTCACTCTGAAACAAATTGTGTCTAACTAGACCAAATGTAAACAACAGTTGTGCATGGAACTGGATTGGATATCTACATGAATTTAGTCGAAATTGCATAGTGAAAGGTCATTCCATAATAAATTTCTCGTATAAACTCATACTTCATACAATTCTAAGTTCTTATGTACATGTTCAATGTTCATGATTCGCTGTAGAATATAGGGCGGTTCACAAAACCAATTTTCGTTCAAATAATTAGATATCACCTCGAATTAGTTGCTCTATAGGGTCAGGAACAACCAAAAAATTTTTTGTGTCTCTACGGTTTCGTATAATACTGACTTGGGCCATGCCCATATTTTTCACCAATTTTTAACAGGTAAAATTCTATAAATCGTCAATCTAGTCACGAAGGAGTATGGGAGGAGTTCTAAATGTGTGCTCCTCTAATATAAACAGTAGGAAATGATTAACTTTAGTCGAGGTTTCAGGTCTCTACAATGTCGAGAAGTTCCTGCAGGAATTTTCGCATTGCGCTGAAGCGCAAGATTCACTGCGCCAAAAGCGAAGGTAGTAGAGACATGAGACCTTGACTAAAGCTAACCATTTCATACCATTGCTATGAGAGTAAGCCACTTTCAGAGTCCTGAACACACTCCTATACCTCTTAATCGTCAATTATATGAATTTTACCTGTTAAAATATATCATCTTTAACTGATATCAATTTAGTTTAACACTGTTAGTTTTAAAAAAGAACATAATACTTCACACCAAACTAACGCACAATATGGTAATATAAAAAAGGAAGGTTTTCCTTGGATTCCAAATTCAACTTTGATTATATCCTGGCACTGATTATCATTTCTCGATTGTTATCCATTTACCAATGCAGTCAGCAAGTTCCAATTTAGGTAGACTAGGTTTTCGCATCTTCATATTTTGTTCAGAAGCAGGCCAGAAGGGGTTGTTACCAGAGGAATATCTTCTTGGAACAAGGGAATTAATGAGGTCTTCATTTATTTGGGAAGTTGGTCGTTTAGCTCCGGACAGTCTATGCACATTGCACGGTTAGTAGCCGCAGGGAGTGTGCACGGAGTGTGCATAGACCGTGCAGGGAGTGTGCAGGGACTGACCGTGCAGGGACTGTGCATGGAGTGTTCTCTTGTTGTTGTATGGACCGTGCAGGGACCGTGCATAGACTGACCGGAGCTAAACGACCAACTTGCCATTTATTTCTTCATAACTCGTCACTGACAGTCCGGACAGGATGAGCATTGACGAGATCCACTGATTACTTCATAGCTCGTCATTGATAGGATCAGTATTAAATGAGGTCGAATGATTACTTCATAGCTCGTCACTAACTGGATCAGCATAACATGACTAACAACTAACGAGGTCCAGTGATCTTTTGCTGATACGTCAAGAGAAGATCAGCTATAAATATCGAAAAAAATTAGCTTAGAAATTACAGAGTACAAATGCCTTCTTTACAACTAACTCTTTGGCCTCATCTTTTTAAATCACTCATTCCCTCTGAAACAAGATAATGCTTAGGACTAGGAGGAACTTAGTTAACTTCTTGTATGATTCAGTAAGAGGAAAATTCCTTAGTAAGCTAACATTCTTTTGTAGGATGTTACCACTTATCATATAATATCTGTTATCCAGCATAATCCCACAACTAGACTCTCTTATTCTTGAGTCTTGACAGTGACAACACTATTTTGATGCTCGGTCCAGGTCTCCAAGAAAACCTTCCTTTTTATATTCTCATATTGTGTGTTAGTTTGGTGTGAAGTATTATTTTCTTTTTTAAACTAACAGTGTTAAACTAAATTAATATCAGTTAAAGATGATATATTTTAACAGGTAAAATTCATATAATTGACGATTAAGAGATATGGGAGCGTGTTCAGGACTCTGAAAGTGGCATACTCTTATAGCAATGGTATGAAATGGTTAACTTTAGTCAAGGTCTCATGTCTCTACGACCTTCGCTTTTGGCGCTGTGAATCTTGCGCTTCAAGCGCAATGCGCAAATTCCTGCAGGAACTTCCCGACATTGTAGAGACCTGAGACCTCGAATAAAGTTAACCATTTCCTACTGTTTATATTAGAGGAGCACACATTTAGATCTCCTTCCATACTCCTTCGTGACTAAATTGACGATTTAGAGAATTTTACCTGTTAAAAATTTGTGCCGAGATTTACCTCATTTTACCTCATGAGGCCAGCCAAAAAAGGCAAAATTGGGATGAGGTAAAATGAGGTAAAATGAGGTTGACCCCCCCCCCCCCCCCCATTACACTTTCAAACCAATACATAAACCGATTCGAAATAAATAGAATTAGAACAAATAAATAGAACAAATAATGAGAAATCCGTTTTTTATTAATCATGCGACTCATTACGGACAACTACAAGATCTGTTTGATATAAAATAAGTTCTGAAAATTGTAGCATTAAAACTCTGACAATTCAAGCATTAGTAGCCGTTCTAAGCACAACAAGCACACACACACAAACATGACCACACGGTATAAGAACAGTTCCTCTAGAGTTATCCAGACAAATCCTCCGTCACTGTCTGTATTTGACTCACGGATCAAGGCGTCTTCCTTGCTTGGTTTCAGTTGTCGATCATGTGCGTAATACCACTAGGTCACCTAGCCTCTGTAGTCACGTGGGGCTGACAATCGCTGTGATTGGGTACAGGGGAGGTCAGGTGAGCTTGAGGTGCCTCTTCTCACGTCACAGCAATGATCCCCTGTTATTACATTATCATATTTTATGATATATGAATATTGAATAAGGTGTGCGTATATATGTTATAATCAATAAGCTTCTCGTTATCTTAAGATTTTATCAACAGCTCAAAGAACAATCCCGAATATCTACCATATAATCGTGTTTTATGTGGTTCAAACTTCAAATATTTGCCTCTGACATTTCCTGACATTTCATGGTTTATTACAGTATCGCTTATGTGCCAGGTATTCCTGGGTTCTACTATATGGATTTAGTCACCATAGTACCCTGTCCATAACTGCAAAGCGCATTTTGATAGTTTTAGCATGACATTTTCGACAAAAAATAAGAAACTAATCCATGCCTCAAGATAAAAGTTTAATGAGGATGCAACAGGTATTTTTGTGTGCAGTTAGGATTTAAGTTGCGGTAAAACATTTAGTGTCACTTTTTCCTGTTAAAAAGTTAAAGTATTCTGTCAAAATTTGAGTGGCTGAGGATAGCAATGGCAAAATATTTTCGAGGATTTTGTTCGTGCAAAAGGCCTAGAAGCAATTTGGCAATAGAGATCATTTTTAAACGCAGTTTAGAGAACGATTCAAATAATACGATTTTAAATGCATTCTAGGGCCTGCCAGCAGCTTCAGATAACTTAGCTGCAGAGGGTCTAATTGTATTACAAATGCCTGGCTGCAGATAGTCTGACTGCACTCCAGATAGCTTAGCTGCAGACAACAATCTTACCAAGGTTTTTTCTACACATGATGTGATGATGCGCAGAAACAACGGAGAAAATATCGATCGGTGGGCTTGCCAACAACATGAGCTTCGATGAGGGTCTACCACTTTCGGAGAGCAGAGCTTGTCTCTGATGAGATCCATGCTGTAGATGTTGATTGTTGGTGTAGCATTATTTGCCCTAGACATCCTCGCAGACCAGCTTGAACTTCCTGCACGTGTACAAATCAGTGAGGGCACACTGTACTCATATACTCGTCCCTTCAGGGCGTCAGCAGCTACCTTCATGCCGGTGGAATTGAAAAATGAAAATTACTATAATTTTTAGCAAAAATTTCAAGGAACTGGAAGCATATCATTTATGGTATCATCACGTTTCAGTATGCAGAAAAAATATTCGTTGACAATAAATTTCTGAAATTAACTATTTTGCACCTCTCGAAAGCAAGGCAAGCCTAATTACATGTACCTCATACGATTATGAAAACTTGGCAAGTATACAATATCGTAAAATCAAAACAAACATGGAACCTATTGATATTGGGAAAGGGGGAAGGGGGAAGGGGGGGGGGGGGGAGGAGAGCGTAATACTAGAAGCCAGATAATATGTAATTAATAATTATGTATGTATTATATCGCAATTAGTTTTACGAGTGTGTTACAGGATCACGAGGTATAATTTCTAAACTGTTTTTTTCCCCTGCAAAGTTAAAATGGCAGTGTTCTCATTTAAAAACATTGTACGTACAAAAATCTTCAATTTCTGACAACTTTACGGTGCTATCAATGACTCTGCGTCAATCCTGGTTATATCAATAAATAATAATAATAATAAAATTTGGTAGCTTAAACACAAACTCTACGCCCAGTGGATAAACCACAAAACTTATGCTCTATTGTGTGAAACAAAGATACTAGATCAAGATAACTATCAAGGAGTGTATGCATAGGACATAAAAAGTTTTGGAACGAAGATGACATGCAATAAGGGGAATAAGTCATATAATTGTGAGATTATCTTTAAAATTACATTCCCTTTAATTTATATTTGTCTCCAGGGATCTCGTCCGTTTGCGTGTCACATCTGTGGGAAGAGTTTCAACATGCTATCATCACTAAAGGTGCACGAACACATTCATGTTCCTGTTAAGAAGAAACCCTACCCCTGCGACCTCTGTCACAGGTTCGTAGTTCGTTCTATAATGTTTATTGCTCCTGGTTTTCTGTACGTGCTAAAGGTGTTTTTTTGGCAACTTTGTTTCTAACTTTTTTTTCGTTGATTTGTAAATGTTGGTTTATTTCAGGTCGTTCATGACGTTGCGGATATTAAGTCAACATAAGGAGAGTCATTACGGCCGAATCTCTACCTTCCATCGCCAGGTAGACACATTTGTAGGCTACTTCCCTCAAGCGATTGTAGGGACTAATCTGCTTATTATGGCATATTGACAGATTGTCATCTTATCTATGAAAAGGTTAAATATCCTTTATCCATGATACATTTTTGATAAAATAGACATTCGACGAGTCCAAATCTAAAGCCCTCTTCCTTTCAGTCCTCACTCGGTAAGAAGTCTCAAGTTAGCTTCGCTACCCATCCTCAGAGTACCTTGAAGAATGGTAATGCTGGTAAGTAACCTCTGACCCTCCATGCCACAATATACAGGGTGGGCCAAAAGTCAGTACCCATGCGTTGGCCTTTATAGCTCAGTCACTGAGTGCCCAATTTAAATACTTCTTTCTGGTATGACTTAGTACCACCACTGGTTCGAGGAATTTGTCAACTCGAAAAATATTCGCGTTCATTTTTTTCAAATAGAGGTTCATTTTCACATTTATTTGATAGTTTGGATAGTCAGATCAAGCTAAATGTTATTGAATTGTGTTTGGCCATTCCAATTACGTTTGTCCTGAAAGAATTAGAACTGTAGCTTCTCAGATGACCGAGATATGAAGCATAACGAGTTTATTCATTACGTGTGATCAGGTGATTGGTTTACCTAATCACGTGATAAGGTGACCCCCGTTAACTACCCCGTTAAACATTATATGAGAATTGTTAAGGGTGCCCAATTAAGGTGTCGTGTCACGGTGTCACATAATCACCCAGTCAATTTTGTTAACGAGATACAGAAAATGCTTGATAACTTCGTCATTTCTAATCCGTTTTGCCTCATGTTTTCAGATCATATGCAACAGTTGATTATCTACCGTCTCTGAAAAAATTAGGCGTTCAGCATGTTCAGAGAAAACAATAAAGGTGTTTTAATATTGAATGGGCGTGGTCTAAAATATTCGAATTTTCAAATTTTGACGACGGAATCCTCGAACCAGTAAGTACAGTATGCCATCTGCAAAGCAACAGCTCTCAAATATAAAACACAGCGGAGCTATTAAGGCCAACGTATGGGTACTGACTTTTGGCCCACCCTGTAATATTCAGGAGATCTGTGTTTTTATGTAAATTAAAATTATTCAAACAAATTAACATTTGACTTGGTCTCCCTCACAATCGTTCTTCTAAACCAAGTTTTTATTTTCAGGGACACGAACCCAATCTCCCCGGACCTCAATAACAAACATATTCCACGTGCGCGCGAGCAGTCCAAACGATACACCCAACGAGAAGAAATACAGCACAATCACTATCACACCAAGTAAAGGGACAGTGGCTATGGGCAGTAGCAAGAGTAGCGGTGGAGCCAGTACCAGATCTACTAGTCAGGTATTACTTCTTTCAAGAGCGGCTATTTCCCTTCCTCGGGATATGCTCTAAATTATATATTTCAAGTGTAAGATGTTCTTTTACTTTCTCCACTCATCATAGACGTATGATTATTTAAGTAGTCGTCATTGAATTAAAGCTATTTGTAAATATGATTTTAATGATGTTCGTCAGAGCGACTGTGTTTCTGTTGACGATCTTTTGCACGTAAGTTTTTTAAACGAAGGTATCTTCAGAGAATTCTACCAACGACACGAGTCAGACAAGGACAGGTAATAGTACAAGCAAGACCTGGAGCTGGAGCCACTGCTTACAAAGTCAGAACTAAAGCAGGTTAGTCTTACTTCTCTAATTATCCATCAATAATTGGTAGATAACAGTCTAATTATTGAGTTTGTTGTGTACGCGACCGAATAACGATGTTAGCTTTTTCTCGAATGATATCACTCTCATGACTGTGTAGCGATGTCACAATTCCGGTAATAATGGCCTTAGTTACCAATGAAGTGGTCGGCAACATTTGATCAGTGTTGGAAAAGCCATCGAGTAAGAGCAATTATAAGGCACGCGCTAATGCGATAACCTATACAAATACATAATAGAGCATGAATACATGGTATAGCATACAATGTATACTGCACTTCCTTTTAAAAGAATTGCTTAGCAGTGCGACGGTTGTCTGGGCGTTACCTGTTTCTTTCTGTAACAAGTAATTTATGAATGCAGGCTTGAACAAATTGACCGTTTCGGCGGTTTATGTTTGTTCTATCTTTGGTTTAAGTACAGATTCGGAGGAACTTAGCCTTACGGAGCATCGGCAACGCGTGTACGATACGTGGTTATTAGCGCGCGCCGCACGTGATAACCATTTGCTCAAATGCTAACGATCGCGCGTTTCGCACCCTCAAATTTGAAGAGAGTCTTTTATTGACAGTACTTTGGAATGCGCGCGCAAACGTTTTAATTGTTACGTTTTCTTTATTTTGACAAAACGGAAACGAGCGGGCAAGTGCACTTCATACATCGAACACTCAACTCGCATACCGCATCAAGTTGGAATGTGTATATTATTGGGTTTCCTGGGGGGGGGGGGGGGGGGGGGGGGGGGGGCTCATGTTTTTTTGTCCGTTTTTGTCCGTTTGGCAGCTGTATTTTCAAAACGGACAAAAATAAAACGGACAAAAACGGACAAAAAATAACAAAAATTGAAATAACATTTAGATGCTTCCTCCTCCTCCTCCTCCTCCTCCTCCTCCTCCTCCTCCTCCTCCTCCTCCTCCTCCTCCTCCTCCTCCTCCTCCTCCTCCTCTTCCACCTTCTCCTCCTCCTCCTCCTCAGCCATCCTCCTCAGCCATCCTCCTCAGTCCTCCTCAGTCCTCCTCCTCTGCAGTCCTCATCATCCTCCTCAGTCCTCCTCCTCCTGGGTCCTCCTCCTCCTCTTCATCCTCCTCCTCTTCCTCCTCAGTCCTCAGTCCTTCTCCTCAGTCCTCCTCCTCATCCTTTTCGTCAGTACTCCTCCTCCTCAGTCCTCCCCCAGTCCCCCCTCCTCCTCCTATTCAGTCCTCCTCCTCCTCCTCAGTTCTCCTCCTTCTCATTCCTCCTTCTGAGTCCTCCTCATTCCTCCTTCTGAGTCCTCCTCCTCCTCTTTCTCCTGAGTCCTCCTCCTGGGCCTCTTTCTCCTCCTCCTTCTCAGTCCTCCTCCTCCTCCCTCTCAGTCATCCTCCTCAGTCATCCTCCTCAGCCATCCTCCTCAGCCATCCTCTTCAGCGATCCTCCTCAGTACTCCTCAGTCCTCCTCCTTCTCAGTCCTCCTCAGTCATCCTTCTCCTCCTCCTCCTCCTCCTCCTCCAGGGGGGATCCTGTTTTTTATCCGTTTTTTCCGTTCGGAACCCTATATTATCAAAACGGACAAAAAATAGAGCGGACAAAAACGGACAAAAAATAACAAAAATGGAAATAATATTTAGATGCTTCCTCCTCCTCCTCAGTCTTCCTCAGTCATCCTCCTCCTCCTCCTCCTGAGTCCTCCTCCTGGGTCCTCCTCCTGGGACCTCCTCCTCTTGGGTCCACCTCCTCTTCATCCTCCTCCTCTTCCTCCTCAGTCCTCAGTTCTCCTCCTCAGCTCAGTCCTCCTTCTCAGTCCTCCTCCTCATCCTTTTCCTCAGTCCTCCTCCTCAGTCCTGCCCAGTCCCCCTCCTCCTCCTATTCACTCCTCCTCCTCCTCCTCCTCCTCCTCCTCCTCCTCCTCCTCAGTCCTCCTCCTCCTCAGTCCTCCTCCTTCTCAGTCCTCCTCCTCCTCCTCAGTCCTCCTCCTCCTCAGTCATCCTCCTCAGTCCTTCTCCTCCTCAGTCCTTCTCCTCTTCCTCCGCCTCCTCAGTCTTCCTCATATTCCTCAGTCCTCCCCCAGTCACCCTCCTCCTCAGTCTTCCCCCAGTCACCCTCCTCCTCATCCTCATCCTCCTCATCAGTCCTCCTTCGCCTTCTCAGTCCTCCTCTTCAGTCCTCCTCCTCCTTTTCCTGGTTCCTCCTCCTCAGTCCGCATTCTCCTCCTCAGTCCTTCTCAGTCCTTTCCCCAGTCACCCTCCTCCTCATCCTCCTCATCAGTCCTCCTTCTCCTTAGTCCTCCTCCTCAGTCCTCCTTCTCCTCCTGGGTTCTCCTCCTGGATCCCTCTTCTCCTCCTCAGTCCTTCTCCTCCTCCTCAGTTATCCTCCTCCTCCTCCTTCTCCTCCTGGGTCCTCCTCCTTCTGCTCACCAGTCCTCCTCCTCAGTCCTCCTCATCCTCTTCATCCACTTACTTCTCCTCCTCATCAGTCCTCATCAGTCCTCCTCCTCCCAAGTCATCCTCCTCCTCCTGGGGCCTTTTCCTGTGTCCTCCTCCTCCTGGGTCCTCCTCCTCAGTCCTCCTCCTCTTCCTTCTACTCAGTCCTTCTCCTCCTCAGTCCTTCTCCTCTTCCTCCTCCTCAGTCTTCCTCCTCCTCAATCCTTTCCCCAGTCACCCTCCTCCTCATCCTCATCCTCCTCATCAGTCTTCCTCCTCCTCAATCCTTTCCCCAGTCACCCTCCTCCTCATCCTCATCCTCCTCATCAGTCCTCCTTCTCCTTCTCAGTCCTCCTTCTCAGTCCTCCTCCTCCTCTTCTTCCTGGTTCCTCCTCCTGGGTCCTCCTTCTCCTCCTCAGTCCTCCTCCTCTTCCTGGGTCCTCCTGATCCTCCTCAGTCTTCTTTCTCCTTCTACTCCTCAGTCCTCCTCCTCCTCAATCCTCCTCTTCCTCCTAAGTCCTCCCCTCCTCAGTCCTCCTAAGTCCTCCCATTCTCAGTCCTCCTCCTCATCAGTCCTCTTCACCAGTCCTCCTCCTCAGTCCTCCTTATCCTCATCCTTCATCTCCTTCCTTCATCTCCTTTCTCCTCCTCATCCTACTTGTACACCTCCTCCTCATTAGTCCTCCTCCTCACTCCTCCTCCTCCTCGTCCTTAGTCCTCTTTATCAGTCCTCATCAGTCCTCATCAGTCCTCCTCCTCCCCAGTCCTCCTTTTGGGGCCTTTTCCTGGGTCCTCCTCCTGGGTCCTCCTCCTCTTGGGTCCTCCTCCTCTTGGGTCCTCCTCCTCATCCTTCTCCTTAGTCCTCCTCCTCAGTCCTCCTCTTGAGTCCTTCTTCTCCTCCTCCTCCTATTCATTCCTCCTCCTCAGTTCTCCTTCTCAGTCTCACTCCTCCTTCTCAGTCCTCCTCCTCCTCTTCTTCCTGGTTCCTCCTCTTGGGTCCTCCTTCTCCTCCTCAGTCCTCCTCCTCTTCCTCCTCTTCCTGGGTCCTCCTGATCCTCCTCAGTCTTCTTCCTCCTTCTACTCCTCAGTCCTCCTCCTGCTCAATCCTCCTCTTCCTCCTAAGTCCTCCCCTCCTCAGTCCTCCTAAGTCCTCCCCTTCTCAGTCCTCCTCCTCATCAGTCCTCTTCACCAGTCCTCCTCTTCAGTCCTCCTTATCCTCATCCTTTATCTCCTTTCTCCTCCTCATCCTCCTCATACACCTCATCTCCTCATCAGTCCTCCTCCTCACTCCTCAGTCCTTCTCCTCCTCCTCCTCCTCCTCGTCCTTAGTCCTCTTTATCAGTCCTCATCAGTCCTCATCGGTCCTCCTCCTCCCCAGTCCTCCTCATGGGGCCTTTTCCTGGGTCCTCCTCCTCTTGGGTCCTCCTCCTCTTGAGTCCTTCTTCTCCTCCTCCTATTCATTCCTCCTCCTCAGTTCTCCTTCTCAGTCTCACTCCTCCTCAGCCCCCCTCCTCTCCCTCCTCAGTCCCCCTCCTCAGTCCCCCCTCCTCCTTTTCCTCTCTTTCATCTCTCAATAATTTGTTCAATTTATAATTATTGTTGGTGTTATTGTTAACATAATTTATTGTTATATACTAAAATGTTTTTAAGCGCATTTGAGTCTGACTCAAAATGTGCTCAAGAATCTTTGTGTTTAACAAAGTTTTACTCTCCAGTAATAAAACTTTTCATCCCTTTTTATGTTATTAAAAATGTGTTGACTAGGTATTCTTTGTGCCTAATTGAAGATTAAAAGTTTGAGAAAGGACCATGGTCATTAACCGGGCTACCCATTTCTGCAGATAGCCTGTTACAAATTGTGGAGAAAATTTAAATCAAAAGTTACAATTTTTGTCCGTTTTTGTCCGTTTTTGTCCGTTTTTGTCCGTTTGGCAGCTATATTTTCAAAACGGACAAAAATTAACGGACAAAAACGGACAAAAACGGACAAAAAATAACATGATCCCCCCCCCCCCCCCCCCCCGTTTCCTCAGACTGGTTGTACCGTCCTATCTAACGTTTGCCAGGGTTTAACTCTTGGTCTGTCAATTTCTTGCTCATCTGAATACCATGCTTTGTAGGTCATAATATGAGAAGTCTATGTCGCAGACTCTCCGCTCATTTACCGAGACACCTCATTTATTATCATATCCAGCGGACGTTTCTTGTGACGGTTAAGTGTGAAACACGGATGTTGACTTAGATCCGTGTGCCCTGATATCATGAACGTTCATTACCGCTTAAGATCGAAAAACACATCCGTTGCCAGGCACCTGCCACCATATGTTAATTCATACACAATAATGCCTCACTCTTATACAATTTTTGTATTAACGTTAATATTAATCCTTATATTAGTAAAGGTTTCAAAGACTAGCATGTGTTTATATTTCAGAGTGCGAGGAAGCTAGAAACTTCGGTCTGAAAGTTGTTCCCTTCAAACGCTCCGGGTCTAGTACAGATCTGGAGGAGAAGAAAATCAAAATAGGGAACTCAGAGAAGATTTAGCAGGAGCTGTCACCGCACAAACGCAGTTCCGCAACTGTTGTGTCCCAGAGTTTGTTACACCCGTTAGTCCGTTTCAGGAGTGGACTTGATTTCTGTCAGTTTGATTGTTGATATATTGATGTGCAGCCAGTTTCTTAGATTGAGTTGATTCCTAATGTAGACTGAGTACAGAAACACTGAAAATCTGTCCGCATCAAATCGGGTCAATATCTTTCATCCCAAACTACTAATAAATTCTTGAAGTCATTGATGAACGAAATGAATTCTGAAGACACGATTTATAGATACTAGCTACAACAGATTTATTGATGGGATGTAGGTCGTAGAATAAACCAATAGTCAGACCCTAGCAACGATTTGTTTCGTTAGAGATCGGGGGCCTACTTTGACCCGATTTGATGGTTTTCGCACGTTTTGAGTGTTAGTGCAAATTTCTCAGTCTTCAAATCAAAGTTGACGATTCTGAAGACTTTACCTAAATAATGCGTACGTACTAAATAATAATATGTATATTGAATTTAAATCTTAACTTTAGATTTTAAATCTTGACGGTGTTTTTGGGTTTGACTATGATTTCACTTTTACACACTGTTTCCTATTTGTGGCAAAACTCATATAATATTGCCACCAGTTTTGAATTGTTTCGCTCCCCCAGTTTAATTGTTAATGGATTTTGTCACTTCTCGAATATTGATAGTCTGGGTTAAGGACAATGTTGTTATGTTGAACTTTAACATGGATATTATGGTTTGAATCTGGGTTGGGTTGACTTTATATTATGTCAGTTTAAAGTTATACCACTGGTTGAAATTATTTTAGTTTGAACTTGAAAATCAATAACCTTCGGCCAAGAAATTCGGAGCATCCATTATCTGAAGGTAGGGATGAGCACCGCTCAATGGCAGTGAACATTTTCAGAATGTTTGCCTTGGGTAACTCTGGATGATGGGGGGGGGGGGGGGGTCAAATACTACGCTAATATGCTTTAATATGCCCAAAATGCCATATTCTTCGTTTAGTTTAGCAAGATGAGCCTGTTTTCTCCTGAACTCTTTCACGAACTTTCATCCAGTTTTGACAAAAATGGTCGAGTTATGAGCCAAAATTTATAGTTTTTGGCCCATAAATTGATCAGATTTCAATATTTTTGAATGAGACTAACTTTATATGAAACAATTACAATTGCAGGTGATCATAAATGACATATTCTCTGTAATTTATAGCTCAATTTCTAGATCTGTTGAAAAGTGGATAGTGGATACTAAGGCGAAATCGACATAACTATCACATATCAGTTTTCAATATTTTCGCACGAAATTTTCTAATTCATTTAGAATCGCATTTCAACCTTGTTGTGGGCGGCAATTTTTAGGCCTCCCAAAAATCGGGATAAAGGTACATTAAAAAGTATATTAAAGTATAACTATATCCCCGGGGTCAAATCAGCAAAATACATAGACTTTCATATACTTTAATATGGTAAGCCCCCCCCCCACCCTTATCCCCTGTAAATTTAAATTCAAATGACTCTTGCGAACACGAGTTCTTTTGGATGGCCGAAAATTCATGGTTTTTAAGTTGGTTAATCTGTAAATGGTAATGGCAACAGGCAATGCCGCCGATGATATTACTTCATGATTAATTTTGATAATTTTACGCTTGTGAGATTAGTGTTTTCATTTGTATTTCATGTTGATAAAAATTGGAACATAATAGCCCAGGTAAACTGAACACTGAACACTGAAGTAGCCACACCTATCTTTATGTTTAACTTTAAGTATACAGTATAGTTTCACATCCAGATCGTGAATTGTTTATATTCAATATCCATCCACCGGATAGTGTTTAATGTTTATGCATGATTGTTGGCCAAGACCTCTACAATTTCACTAACCCGTCCCACCGAGGGCTGGGAAGCGTCCAATTGTGAGGTTCTGCGCTTTCACTTTCAGCTTTACTCAGCACTCAGGTAAAAATGCAAAAGGCTTATTAATTTTACCGTGTAGATTAATTTCTAGTTTATAGATACAATTCAAGCGCATGTTTACCTGGGGACCCTCACCCAGGTAAGAGGAAGGTAAGACTAAGAGGAAGACCCGCACTATTTTAAGTATATCTCAACTACACAAAAATTAACGGGTAATACTCTTGTCCATTGTTAATTTAATGGACAAGCCCGGCGCGCGCTACTTCTTGCAAATAAAAAGGTTTATGTTAAACTTAAAAATGGCAAGTGTGAAATAGTATAGCACTTGCCTCGAGCAACATTTCGAGAAGAAAGCGGCGCGCGCTAATCCGAAGAATTTTAGACGAGTAACATCAACATAAACCTTTTGCACCCCTGGTAAGACGATAAGAAGCATAACATAACGTATGAGGTATTTGACCAAAACCCATAATCATGGGTAGAGTGTACCGCTGCCAGTGTCTCTCTTTTCCAAACAAAAGGAAATGATATTAATTCGAGGAACAGTCCGCTAATGCAAATTGATACCGAGAATGAAATCGGTCGCTCGCTTTTTCAAATCAATAAGCTTTATTACAATTCGTGAGCCGTGATCGAATGGAAAAAGCGAGCGACCGATTTCATTCTCGGTATCAATTTGCATTAGCGGACTGTTCCTCGAATTAATATCATTTCCTTTTGTTTGGAAAAGAGAGACACTGGCAGCGGTACACTCTACCCATGATTATGGGTTTTGGTCAAATATCATCTCTTTTTGATTATAATGTCAGGATAATTTACACAGCTAGTCGAAACTTCATTAACAAGGAGGTAATTTCGACGATTTCGAAATTCTGCCTTTGAAAACGTTTCTTTGTGTTTAGTTAGGTATATCTGTCGATAACCGACTGAATATGGCACTTTTTACTCATTCAAGTTGGCATTAAATTCATATATAATGCCATTTAAATATCGTGGAAAGCAGAATATATTCGAAATCACGAATGAGCAAAATTCTCACCTTTCGCACGTGCAAACTTTGAGCGGACGTTGCGTGCGCATACAATATTGAATCACCGTAAATTTTTGCATAGTTGTATTTAATATATAGTTTGATAAGCATGCAAAGTTTCAGAAGATTTCAAAAAGAACTTGGATCACAACGGGACTCCAAAGTTGATAAAAATCGTGAAAATCAAAATTTTTAGTGATTTTAGCTATTTTAAATAAATTTGGGCGTGTCCCCACGTGTGCAACTTTTCGATTTTTAACTTTAAAACTAGCCTATAACACAATTTACACCTTTAAAAAGCAAAATTGAGCTCCACAACCCAAGGGATAACCCAACACCAGAGAATACTAATTCACAACTTTTGTGTTTTTATAAAATTATTCTTCAAAAAAGCACTAACTTCAATAGCAAATATCTTTATGAAGGAGTAAGGTAGGAAACTTTTCCGGTAGATTTTTAGAATGCTTGAACAATTATCTAAGATAAAAATGTCCTCAGATTTTGAATAAAATTACTCTTTAATGGTGTAAAATCGATTTGAAAAGTTGTTGTTTTGTCAAAAATCAAGTTTTAAAAACACTTAAATTGATGACGTCATCAAGTGATGATGATGATGATAAATTATTTTTCAATATAAAGTAAACTGAGGTATAAACGATTATCTTTAAAACCTGTGGTTCAAAATGACTGCATCTTTTATACTTTTGAATCTACGGACACTTAAATGTAGGCTACAATTGACTGCAAAAAGCGTCTATCACAATGCTGGCAAGCATTACCGTCGCCCTTATATTCACAATACTATTTACCCCCTATACTATTATATCCCCTTTATTGATTTCCAGGCATTAAGACTCATCGAAAGTAGATCAGCAGGTACATTTAAGTTCAAAACATTCTAATTCAATGTTAAAGATGACAGGGATAAAAAATAGTTATATGGAGGTTTTTAAGAAATTTGCGCAAAATACGCGCCAGCATGTTATACGAAATTAGGTAAAAAACCCAAAATCGCCATATTCAGGTGCCTTAAAAACCATGTTAAAATTGAGTTAGAGATCTGAAACTTTGCAGGGCGTCTAGACCTTGTCCAAATCGACTGTAAAAAAAATTTCATGTTTCAGGAGTATCGTGAAGTGGGTTTTCTGGAACCCCTGTTTTACAACAGATTGTCGTGAAGATATATAATATATAATATAGACGCTTTTTGCAGTCAATTGTAGCCTACATTTAAGTGTCCGTAGATTCGAAAGTATAAGCGATACAGTCATCTCGAACCACAGGTTTTAAAGATAATCGTTTAAGCTTTAGTTTACATTGTATTGAAAAATAATTTAACGTCATCATCATCACTTGATGACGTCATCAAATTAAGTGTTTTAAAAACTTGATTTTTGACAAAGTAACAACTTTTCAAATCGATTTTACGCTATTAAGGAGTAATTTTATTCAAAATCTGAGGACATTTTCATCTTAAATAATTGTTCAAGCATTCCGAAAATCTACCGGAATAGTTTCCTACCTTGCTCCTTCATAAAGATATTTGCTATTGAAGTTAGTGCTTTTTTGAAGAATAATTTTATAAAAACACAAAAGTTGTGAATTAGTATTCTCTGGTGTTGGGTTATCCCTTGGGTTGTGGAGCTCAATTTTGCTTTTTAAAGGTGTAAATTGTGTTATAGGCTAGTTTTAAAGTTAAAAATCGAAAAGTTGCACACGTGGGGACACGCCCAAATTTATTTAAAATAGCTAAAATCACTAAAAATTTTGATTTTCACGATTTTTATCAACTTTGGAGTCCCGTTGTGATCCAAGTTCTTTTTGAAATCTTCTGAAACTTTGCATGCTTATCAAACTATATATTAAATACAACTATGCAAAAATTTACGGTGATTCAATATTGTATGCGCACGCAACGTCCGCTCAAAGTTTGCACGTGCGAAAGGTGAGAATTTTGCTCATTCGTGATTTCGAATATATTCTGCTTTCCACGATATTTAAATGGCATTATATATGAATTTAATGCCAACTTGAATGAGTAAAAAGTGCCATATTCAGTCGGTTATCGACAGATATACCTAACTAAACACAAGGAAACGTTTTCAAAGGCAGAATTTCGAAATCGTCGGAATTACCTCCTTGTTAATGAAGTTTCGATTGTGTAAATTATCCTGACATTATAATCAAAAAGAGATGATATTTGACCAAAACCCATAATCATGGGTAGAGTGTACCGCTGCCAGTGTCTCTCTTTTCCAAACAAAAGGAAATGATATTAATTTGAGGAACCGTCCGCTAATGCAAATTGATACCGAGAATGAAATCGGTCGCTCGCTTTTCCCATTTAATAAGCTTTATTACAATTCGTAAGCCGTGAATGAATGGGAAAAGCGAGCGACCGATTTCATTCTCGGTATCAATTTGCATTAGCGGACGGTTCCTCAAATTAATATCATTTCCTTTTGTTTGGAAAAGAGAGACACTGGCAGCGGTACACTCTACCCATGATTATGGGTTTTGGTCAAATACATCTATACATATATATATATATATATATCTTCACGACAATCTGTTGTAAAACAGGGGTTCCAGGAAACCCACTTCCCGATACTCCTGAAACATGAAATTTTTTTTACTGTCGACTTGGACAAGGTCTAGACGCCCTGCAAAGTTTCAGATCTCTAACTCAATTTTAACATGGTTTTTAAGGCACCTGAATATGGCGATTTTGGGTTTTTTACCTAATTTCGTATAACATGCTGGCGCGTATTTTGCGCAAATTTCTTAAAAACCTCCATATAACTATTTTTTATCCCTGTCATCTTTAACATTGAATTAGAATGTTTTGAACTTAAATGTACCTGCTGATCTACTTTCGATGAGTCTTAATGCCTGGAAATCAATAAAGGGGATATAATAGTATAGGGGGTAAATAGTATTGTGAATATAAGGGCGACGGTAATGCTTGCCAGCATTGTGATTACTGGGCCGCGCTCAGCCTGTCATTCCGCCTAATCGAAATCTCTATTCGGTGTTTATGAACATGATAGCCTGAGGTCCCCAGGTAAATGAGGTAATGACATTAAATATCTGCAGCTACTCACAATTCATGTATGGAAACAATGATAACAAATAAAGTGACGCAGGCTCTAGTCAGCGGTATGAAACTAGCAAAGTTCTCCTTGAATTATGTCAGGATGGCCGAGTGGTTAAGGCGCCAGATTCAAACTCTGGTCCATGAATGTGGGCGTGGATTCAAATCCCACTTCTGACAACTTTTATTTTTGGAAACTGATTTACGTTAATCTACTGTTATATTATCATATATTAAAAACCCGCAAGTCGAAAGCTTTGTTCGAGGAAATTTAAAAAAATGAGTTATGTTCTAATTTGTCTTTTATTTGCTATTCATTATCTAGCTCGATTGAATTATATTTATATTTAGGGGTCGTTCACATATTAAATAATCAATATTTTGGAATTTTTACCCCCCCCCCCCCTCCGTAATCAAGACCGAACCCCCTCCCTTACCTATATTACCTATATTACCTATATTACCTATATTACGTAATCAAGGTTTGACCCCCCTCCTATATTACGTAATCAAGATTAGACACCCCCGGCCCCCCATTTTTGAGTTAAATTTTGATGTAGAGATCCAAGAAATACACATTATTCATTGCTGTCTGAGACTTGAAAAAATGTTGATTACATAATTAACGAAAATTGTCCAATTGGTATTTCGAAAATCGGTAAAAAATTAAAATTTTGATTACCAATTACGTAATCAACGACCAAACCCCCCCACCCCCCGTAATCAACCGTAAGCATTTGAAAACCCCCCTCTGCACTCTGCTGATTACGTAATATTGAATATGTGAACGACCCTTTAGTGAAACCGTCTAGCTCGGTATTGTAGAAAGTATGGATTTTATTTGACAATGACGACAAAGTTGTAAAACGTATACCATTGTCAGTTATTTGTCCAATGTCCATTGTCGTATTCGCGGACAATGATTGTGGATTGTCATACTGCATACGTTGTCAGTTGTATGACCCGCCGCGCACGAGTGCGCGGCTCCCCTGCATCTAATCGTAGAAACTCACTAGTGAAACGACCGTGGGGTTCACGACGTGATACAAGACAATGACATGATTTATGAAAAAATAACTGATTTATGAGCCGAAAATATTTGTTCGGTTTAATTTTCTGAAGTCTGTCATCTGTACGCGTATATTAAATTATCTACATTTGGAAGGTTGTGGATCATTTGCAATTTGTAGGTTTACAACCTACCAGGACGCGCGCCGAGTTGGACTCGTCGACGGTCCAATATATGGAACAGATATTTTACGAGTATCACCCGTTGATATCACGTCGTGACCCCCATTATCGTTTCACTAAGTTTTTACGATACAGGGGGAGCCGCGCACTTGTGCGCAGCGGGTCATACAACGTATGACAAATAATTTTCATAGAGATTCGGCGGAATAACAGGCTGAGCGCCGCCCAGTGGCAGTATTAGTCAATATTTGAAAAAGAAAGCGGCATGGCAGCACGCGCTACTTCGAAGAAATTTAGACCATAGACGAGTATTATCCGTCAATGTTTCAGAATCAGCATTATCAGGGCTTGGAGGACTTCGCCGCTTCGACGCGAACTAGCATTCTTGCTTCGCATCGTCGTCGATCGTTGCTCTGCTTCGCAGAGCAACGATCTCGACGGATTGACATCGTCAATCAATATCAGAGCCTGTCTTTAAAATTAAAAATCCTTGGCGAGCGATTAAATTAAAATAGGACCGTATTTTTTAGGTTAATAACCTACCAAGACTTAACGGGTGATACTCGTAAAATATTTTGTTCGAATATTTGTCCAACTCGGCGCGCGTCCGGCCTGTGGTAGGTTATAAACCTACAAACAAAGACGCGCTCGAGTTGGAATTTGGACTTAGACTCATCGTTACATGGCACGCCAATCCCAATGCGCGGCGCTCTTTTCGAGCTTCTCACTATACTTGAGAGTGCCGAGCAATAGACTAGCAATCTGCCAAGACAAAGCTAGGTAAGACTCATCGACGGTCTTTGGAACAAATATTTTATTAACCGTTAAGACCGTATTTTATAGGACATCACATTTAATCGCAGCCGGTAAATTGTAAATGCAACAGTAAACTACATTTTATGTACTTTAAAAAATGAATAAGTTAATAAAATACGTAAAAATCTAAATTCAAATCGTGGTCTTTGATTATTTACCTTGTTGCTCAATACTTGACCCAAAAACAGACATGATCAGGCCGCTTTGTTTGTTACAAAAAGAAACTGTCCCTCGCGTTATATAAATAATCTGTATAAACACAGTTCATATTAACTTTTAGACTTTTCGTTTGTTTGGTTGGATGGTAAAAGGTCTGGATACTCTACGTTTTTGAGAAGTTCGTTGAAATCGAAGAACATGGGATTATGGTTGAAAGTATGGACCAGCTTAAATCGTTCAGGATCTAATCTGTAGTACATCTGTAGTTGGTTTACCAGAAATACTGCCTCCTGAAAATATCTGTTGTGAAACAGTGGAATCAGGTACCGTCGTGGACAGTAATACTATTTATAGAACTAGTATGTTTTTATGAATTTGTGTGTTTCTGGTACAATTATGAACATTTTAGTAGATTGAGCAGCGGTTAATCTGTTGTTGAGTAGCAGTGGAATTTCTGGACCATACCAGGCGTACCAACAGAAACTTAACTTTTGCTTCATTGCTGACAAAGCTTACACAGGCTAGAATAGGACTTAAGAATAAACATATCTAGGGTCCGCTTTTTCAGCCATATGTAATTGTGACAAACGTGAACTCTAAATTTTCAAGCCCCCTAAACTAGTGTTCCAGGTAAACTAACATTTGGAGTGAGGGGATCCTTGTAGGCTCCTCTCATCAGCACCAGCTCCTTGGTCTGCTGGAAGTCAATGTAGTGGAACAGTTCGAGGAGAGGAGGAGCTGAGGATTGAAGTGCCTGCGGGGAGGGGCTCGTCGGGAATGTAACAGATTGGAACTCAGAGAAATTCTTATAATAATATGACACTGACAGAGGTATTTTGAGAAGTTTTAAGAGTTTCATTTATAATGAAAAGTAGATCATAGTTAATACCTTGAATGCTTCCAGACTAGTGAATGATATTCTGTGCTGGTGAATTTCAGAGTACATCATCTCGAAACCACCACTATCTTTGGGAATTGCATACACAAACTGGGGGGTAAGAGAAATAGTTCGACGAATTTGCATCTACATTCTACAAAGATATTTAAGAGCTCCAAATATTGTTTCAAAAATTCAAGAATCAAATTTAAAGTTCGAACCCTTGGACAGATTTTTCCTTTTGCTTGTATCTCAGCGTAGTGCATGGATGGAATAACACCTGATACGAAACCATCTTTCGTCTGATGATAATCAGCCCAAATCTTTGAAATCTGCGGTAAATGGGTATAGTGATGAAGATATGAGCAAAGGAAAGAAATATGTTTACCAAGCACTGATCCTAAAACTAATTCCAATGAAACATTCATTAATCATTTCTGGAAAGTCTAAAGTCTAAAATCAAGCGGGATTTCTTCGACGATGAAAGTCACCAACCTCTTTAGGAGTGGCATCCTTCAAGAGCTCTGTTTTCATGATGTCATCCAGAGTGTGTCCTGGAATCTGACTACCTAACCCGATCGTACCACTGAAATTCCTGAAATAACAATTGTTCGTGGGTGAAAAAATGTAAATTTCCAGTGCACATTCGATAGCAGTTGAGTTTACCAGTGGTCTGAGTTGAATAAAATGGAAAAAAACATTCCTTATATGATTAGAAATATCATCTATCTATCGATGAAGTGAGATTATGAAGAAACTGACCTATAAAAATAAACTGACCTATAGAAAGAAATGCATCCGACTCTGCTCCTGATCCCAATATTCCGGACCAGGTTTCCCAACATAGCTGGTTACTTTTCCTCCTTCTTTTCCAATCACCTACAATCTGTCAAATACTCGTTGTAACATTTGTAAGGAGAAGATAGAAACCAGACTTTAAGCTCTACCTCAAGAGATCCTTTATCTCAAGCACGGAAAATCTCTCGGTATCTCCAATATTGGTCATAATTTTAATTTCATAGTCAATTGAAAAAATCAAACTTTCTGCACACTTCGCAGTTAGAAAAACCGTATTATGGAATTAAAATAGCTTCTCTTGTAAAACTGTGTTATGCATGAATAAATTAACAAAAATAACTTAACTCTTAAAAACTTCTAAGTCTATCACCATTATCATCCAGACAGGGCTCATAAAAACAGTTTTCAAATATTTCCCGGAAACAGAAACGTCGACATTATCGATATACAATTTATCAAAATGATCTCAAAAAGCCATAACTCATCATTCGATATAAACAGGCTGTTTTGTATACGCCAGAGGATCGATCGGTTGCCTATAATTTAACTCTTCCAAAGTCCGGGATTGTGGCAGTGACTCCTCCCCCTCCACAACCCCACTCTGAACAATCTCTACTAAATGTCTGGGGTACCCACACTGACTGCCACAAATCTGGTCTATCTCCTGAACAGTTTCCAGTCCCTCCACCACCTCACCAAACGCTACTTGTTTACCGTCCAGCCATCGGGCCGGGGCCGTTAAGATGAGGAATCTAGACGAGTTGGTGTCAGGACCGTGCCCTGCCATCGTTATGATACCAGGACGGTCGTGTATAATCGTGTGATTCTCGTCAGGGAAGTATGTTTCATCCTCGTATACCATTTCCCGCATGCTGGCTCCATAGACGGATCTGCCACATTCTCCAAGTCGAGGTTTAGGCATTTGAAGGTACTGGGGCTTCTTGAAGGATTCCACTTTGCCGTTCCAGGCTAGACCCTTGTATGGTTCATCGTGGGGCTGGTCTGCTTGTACTCTCTCTACCACATCTCCTACAAAATGAGTTCAATTAAAAAGATAATCAAGCTGGACACGCTACATAATTCTGAATATAATACCTTCAAACAATGAAAAAAGGTACGACAGCACATTATATTTTAGACGTCTTGATAGCCAATGAAGAAAGTTGTACCTAAATTATTCTAAAACTGACACTTTTTACGCTTGGTTGCTCACCTCCATAAAGACCAAATCCTCTGACCACGTGATCTATCGAAGACCCTGCGTATCCAAATCCTTGATTATGAGTGCACAGCTCCCTGAAGTTATGACAAGTCTTCGGTACAACCTTGTCAAAGAGTCGTATCTTGATAAAGTCCAGATCTAGAATATATTTAGTAGATGTGGGAGGCTTGTGAGCCAGCTGGCAGTGGATTATCTTCTTTACTACCAACTGGAAATATGCGTGAATACCACTGGAGACGGACATTGCTGAGGGAAGTTAATTATGAAATATTGACGTTACAAAATAAGCCTGGAGAACAAATTAGTTGCTAGGAGTGGCACTTCCTTGGTTGAATTTAATGAATAGTAGAACGAGATATCGTAATATGATAAGTTCGTCCTCTTCAATTATCAACAAAATCAGTTAGTCTTAAGCAACATTAATTGTTAACCTTTAACAATTCAGCTGCCAATTCTACCAACATAACTAATTTCTTAATATGATAGACGTCGGTTGGGACAGGGAGATTGGTCAACCTTGCTTTGACACGTGACAAAAATTAACCGACCAGCTTGTGGTATCGGCCAAAAATTCAAGAATCTCTGTCACGTGCGAAAGCAAACTTGTTGCACCCTCTGTCAGTACCAACGTTCATACCTTCACTTTAATACTTGTATTTCCGTGCTTGTTTTACTGAAACGAGTGAAAATAAGCGAGTGTTGACAAAACCAGAATCCAGACGTGGTGATATCAGTCATACACAGGGGAATAACACAATATTTATTATTTCATACCTCTCATTTATCATACTTACCCTTGCAACTTACTTAACTTTCCAACAATTTGGTCGAGAAACATCTTTGGTCCAGTTTAAAAGAAATTGCAATTTTTATTTAAATATAATACAACAAAGTTTTATAACTTGATTTTAAATCAAAATGCGATGCAAATAATCTGACGACCAAATAGATGAAATAAATTTATTTGAGGCATTCGGCATTCACAGCTGATACATAAAAAACAGTAATTTGATATAAATTACAAATCTGTCTGTTCTTTCACAATAAAATGTCGGAAGTTCATTCAAAGAAGTTCAAATAATTGCTCGGGGAATTCGTTCCAAATATACAAAACAAATTACACTGGACAATTTCATAGTATTATATCTTGAATATTTCAACATATATCAAAAGCAATACCGTCCGTGACTTTGTGCGACCAAGCTGTGCGCGTATCTAACCCTACATTAAACTTTAAATATCTTCGTTTCAAACTGCAACAAATCAATCTTCACTACAAATAATACTCAGCATTATCATTATCTACATTTAAATCCGGCTCAGACACTGATTGAGAGTTTGCAAGTTCCTCACTAAGGGTGGTCTCCCTTCTCCTCAGACCGCCGAGAAGACTTGAACTACTACTCTGACGGTGAATCGGACTGATATCTAGATACGGATCTGATGAAGTGGTGGTATCCTGGTCCTCCGTGCCCTCGCTGGTGGTATCTTGGGACCTGTCCGGGTCCTCAACAACTTCTGGCATCATATACTGGTTACCCTCCTCATGAGGGGGGACGGGATCAATCCCGACCAGCTGGAGATACCTGGAGACCTGGTGGTACCTGGAGATGTGCCTCCACATTATCATCCACCTGCTCCTCAACATGTGCTGGTAGTGGGACAGGTCGAACACTCGCCGCTCTAAAGTCGGGATGTACGGCTCCAGAGACACGTATCCGTTCTGTTGCAGCTGAACCAGACTTGTAACCATTGCCTCAACGGTGAGAGGGTTGGCGTGTTGCTGCTCCCTCCTCGTCCTGGTGATGAACAGCTCTATGATGGGTATTTCATACTTGTGGTAGAAATATACCATACAGAGCTGGGTGGTCATGAAGGTGGTCACCAGAGCAAGGCCTGAGAACTGGCCGTTGAACTGACTGTGGAAGCCGTAAAAGAGGTAGCTCGACAGGTAGAAGAATCTAGGGAAGTATTTCCGGGAGAGGTAGCTGTGACAGCAGATAGTGTAGTAGTTGTCTGCCATCCAGACGAAGGCTATGAGGTGAAAGCTGACCATAGGGTCGTCTAGCAGCTCCGTCATGATGGTTTCCAGACCCCACAGTCCCAGGAACATGGTTAGTAAGGAAGCGATGGGAAACGGCATCCAAACAGGGTAGAGCACTTGGTTCTGTTGGAGAGCGAAGAGCAGTTTACAGAAGAACTTGAAGAGTTGGTGATGACACAGCCTCATCAGCATGGCGATGACAGACGTCAACACAATCATCAGAACGAAGGAGAGGATATAATTTAGTTTATTGATCCACATGTCGATAAAACGGTAGTGTTCACCTGTGATCACGTTCCTCAGAAAACCCTTGTTGGACACATTGGACGCTACCTTTTTAAAACTGCTCATCAACACATCATCATACCCAAACAGATTCTCCAGCAGAAACCGGCTAAAGAGGTTGCCAAAGCAGGGATCGTGTTTCTCCACGGTGAAGTTGGTGACGGGGATGCTGAGGTTAGTCCTCAGAGCGTCATCCATCCTCAGGAAGGAGTAGTGGAGGGAGTACTCCATGATGTATCTCTCTTCTTCGTACAGGATTTCTTGTTCCAGCGGTAGCGAATAGAATGTCTTGGTGGTGTTTACCTGAACCCTGACAATCCCGTCTTTAGGCCAGGTGTCCACCAGAGAGTCAAGACATGTACCACTCCGACTGAGGAAGGCCTGGTGGACGTAGAGCAGGAGGAATATACAAACTCCCGTCTGTACCATCATGATCCGGTCTATGACCCGGCGAAGTGCACGTGGGACGTTGGTTGCATAGAACAGACTCACTTTGTAGAAGAGGCGGTGGAAGAGGCGGATGTGGGTTTGAGCCATCATGTAGTCGTTGGCGTGGAGGATGTCCATCTTATACTGTCGGAAGTGTACACGGAGACTGAGTTGACTTAAATTGGTTGGTTCCTAAGTTAACTGAGTCCTGGTTCCCGAGTCCCGGTAAGTTCTACGAACTGGCGGAGTCCTTGTAATGTCTCCTCCCCGGATTTACTGAGCCGGACGACCGTGAAAGGTGTCTTGTGTGGTTTCCTTTTTCATTTGACTGCCATGACCGTCATTTTCAACATCCTGCAAATAAAGCAAGGGTATTAGATTTTAAATTTAAAGGGTATGGAATTGAAAATGTATGCATTAAATTCATGTATCATTCGAAATTCAGGGATCGCTTACAGTCAAATGAGTTTGTTTTAATTGAGGGCGAAGTAAACTCTAGACACAGACAATGTACAGGAATGTACAATTAGGTTAACCAAGTATATAGATATTTCTTGAACATAAGAAAAAGTGAAACTTAGTTCACTATTTCGTAAACACAACAATACAGTTGCCTGTGAACGCTACGGTAAAACATCGAATAGTAAATTTTAAATTCATGACAACTCTCATTTCTGGCGTATCTATTATATGGGATGTTTTGTGATTTGATGGAACTTCTCAAGATCCCTTTTCAAAACTAGGCGAATCAGCAAGGATTTTTGTGTTAAAATGGTTTGTTTAATCGATGTTTTACGGCACACGAAGATCGGCAATTTACAAATAACGTAACAAGGTAATCAGTTATTAATAATAAACAAATATATTTACAGAACTAATAGTAATATAACGAGACTATAATCTGAGAAGACTTTGAAATATAATATTTGTAAAACATCCAATTAACATTTCCCGAGATTGTTGTCAATAACCCGAAAAAGGCACTTTAAAGATGAAATTAAAGGTAAAAATAGGTAAAATAAGATATTCATGAACGGACAAGATGAATATTCAAACTTAGTGCTTATTAAGGGGGCATACACCAAATCTGTCCAGACCAAATGACCTCATAGGCAGTTCAGTGACCTTCTAGCGCACCGTTTCCACACCAAAAAAAATTATTTTGAGAATTCCCATTTTTGTTATCGAGCATTTTCTGGTTGACAGTGCAATTTTCGGACAAAATTATTTTGTGGTTGAGACGGTATAAGTAAATAATTTCTTGCGGTATCGAGTTGAAATTTTGCTCGCCGTTTATTCACATCTATGTCAAGGTGTGTGTAAAATCTTGATATCGTATCTAAAAAGGCTGGTGTGTTATGAATTTTTAAAGTCAAAAAGCTAAAATTGTCCTTTTCAGGCTTATTTTAACAAAAAGACAGTCAGGGAAGATCGGATTGATTTGATGCTTGACATCAAATTGTTCTCTGAATTTTGGCGCAGTTTTTGATGCCCTCAAAAATGTTTTTACTCATTCAGCTTCAGATCTATTGGACCTCAAAGCCAAACAACAAATTTAGGCACATTTTTCGGTTTTAATATTTACTGATTTTTCTAAAATTTTGATAGGAATGTGCTAGTGACTTTTTGAAGGGTGCAAAATAACCGCAACTAGCACATTTATATATGAGTTATGAACAACAAAACACCCTAAAATGCTTCCCTTTGAAGTTATGGGAGAAAATGTGATTTTTTGGCTTTGCAGATAAAAAATCACATTTTCTCCCATAACTTCAAAGGGAAGCATTTTAGGGTGTTTTGTTGTTCATAACTCATATATAAATGTGCTAGTTGCGGTTATTTTGCACCCTTCAAAAAGTCACTAGCACATTCCTATCAAAATTTTAGAAAAATCAGTAAATATTAAAACCGAAAAATGTGCCTAAATTTGTTGTTTGGCTTTGAGGTCCAATAGATCTGAAGCTGAATGAGTAAAAACATTTTTGAGGGCATCAAAAACTGCGCCAGAATTCAGAGAACAATTTGATGTCAAGCATCAAATCAATCCGATCTTCCCTGACTGTCTTTTTGTTAAAATAAGCCTGAAAAGGACAATTTTAGCTTTTTGACTTTAAAAATTCATAACACACCAGCCTTTTTAGATACAATATCAAGATTTTACACACACCTTGAAATAGATGTGAATAAAGGGCGAGCAAAATTTCAACTCGATACCGCAAGAAATTATTTACTTATACCGTCTCAACCACAAAATAATGTTTTCCGAAAATTGCACTCTCAACCAGGAAATGCTCGATTACAAAAATGGGAATTCTCAAAATAATTTTTTTTGGTGTGGAAACGGTGCGCTAGAAGGTCACTGAACTGCCTATGAGGTCATTTGGTCTGGACGGCACAAACCACTGTTTTGGTGTATGCCCCCTTAATACCGTTGACCAAAAACGAAATTTCGCATTTAATCCTACATTTAATACAGAAGAACATAGATAACTAGATAATAAAGCTTTTGGAAAGGCTTTAATGATTCTGTGCAATGAAATTTATTTTATGATTGCTTTCGATGGTAAGGGTTTAGACCTGAGGTTTTGAATCATGTTGATTTATCTATCTAAATGTGAAAAAAAATTGTGGCAGTGCAAGTTATTTGTCTAAAATAGCAATAAATTGATAGCTAAACCAAAGTGCTGCACTCTAAAAGTCTCAACTGACTGTCATCTAAATTTCAAAAGTTGGACGCAAAAGCAAAACCCAGTGCTAATATTTCAAATATTTTGACCACGCCTTCTGACTTCCTTTAAAGTTACATAAAAGCATTAAACCAATGATGAAATCAATAATACTGGCGGGCTTGCGTTCCAGGTATCTGATTTTGAATTAAATTTATGTGTCGTCAAATTCTGAAACGGCAATAATCATAATTTCTCATAATAACTTACTACCTTATCCGTTATCAGCAGAAATTTATCATAGAGTGACGTCACACTTTTCAACAAAAAAAATCATACATTTTCCTCATAATACCGTAGCTGTGTATTTCATAGCCACACTAATCCATCTAAATTGCTGCCGATAATGGAATTGGTACATAAAAAATAAAAATATTATTGCAGCTGACGTTCTTTCATTAAGTATTAGCCAATCTTTCAGAAAAAGGCGGTAAATTTCAGCTTTACTCTCCAGAATCCAGCATTCATTTAAATTCGCTTGAATTCAGTTGATCTCGCAGACATGAAACCCTAGTATAGTGAACAAGGGCTTGAAGAAGAAGAAACCCTTTGTTGATTTGAACAATGCGTCAATGCACGATCAAAGGGCTGGAGAGTTGAAGGAGCAAATATAACCGGTGTATTCTCCTCAATCTCTTGATTCAAGCGGCTTGTTTCAAAACTGTTCCTGGTTAATAGTAATACTGTACGCACTTTGAGGTCTACAGTTTAAAGTGTGCCAGATTTGATTGTAGTTTATTGTCCATATTCCTCTATAAATCTTATCTTTGAGATTTATTTGAGCATCTTTTCTGACTGTTCTGTGGTCACAACGTTTCAGTTGAGATACAATCTTTTCGTTTGAGGGCTAAGGTCCATCACTCTCACAGCTGACATTTGACAGAATGAAATCGAAAATCATGAAATTCCAACCAAATCTTATCCTTTGAAGCTTTATTGATAGAACAATGCAATAAAACAATATAACGGGGGGACTATAACAAAACAGTGTACATTGTACAAAGTAAACTCTAAGTAAAGAGTGTATTAACTACAGCAGCAGTATAGTCCGTGTAGCTGTACCATTTGTTATATTACTCTCAATTGTTGTGCGCTTTATACTGATACGCTATTAGTGACATTAGTTAATTATCTATTAAGCTATTACGTTCCTACACTAGATCGCTCTTATCTGACCTCTAAATAATATTTAGAAACTTCGGTTTTCTGCATCATCTTTGGTTTGGGCAAGCTCTCAGTGATCTGCGCGCAAATAACAGCACGTGCAGAGTTACGTGCACGTGCAGCACGAATCAATCTCCTATGTGCATGGCAGAGCTAGGACCTGCACCGTCACCTATTGAAAACTCCATCCCAATATATCTGCGTTTCATTGCACTGTCTATACCCGTCATGGAGGGACCTGCAGGAGAAGGGGTGTTACAGTCGGAGAGAAACACAGAATCAGTCACGTGATATGAGGAGCTCAGTTCATCGGTCAGTTTTAATCAGAGGTTGTTTGTATGGTAAATATGAATATTTATTGAATATGCGGGTTTCATTATGATAAATAATGGATCTAGCTCATGTTCATAATTATATCATGACTTTGATATTTGTATGCTGATGAAGGTCTAGATATCCAGCCGACATCGTGATTTATCCTCACAGAACGATTTTTTATTTTCATTAATCGTTGAAGTTTGAACGATAGTATTATCAATTCATCATTATTCATTATCTATTGCCACAGTCGTTAAAAACATGATCGTTTATACAATTTAGACACTCCTAGCGAGTAGAGAGGGACGATATGTTCGAAACTATAATCTGCGTTTTGATTGGTTTTATTTTCCAAATAGTACGATCATATCAGATTTAAATTTGATTTACGGCAGCTATCCCAACAAATTACCAAAGAACAATCTTCTGGAGTCAGTTATATTATATTAATTTCAATTGAACTAACTAAATTAAACAATAAAACTACCCTAATTACAAAATTCCATTGTTGGTCGGAGCCATTGTTCGGTGTTTTTCTCATTACCATCGTTATGTAAGGTAATGTTATAGTCTGCAATATAGAATGATATAGGGGGGGTCGCTGCCATTTTGCCAAAACTACAATAATAAATGGCAAATGACGACGACCCCCCTGGCCCCCATCCAACTACACGAGTCTCTCAAGTAGTTGTAAACTGAAATAATAGGCTATATATAGTAGTATATATTGTGCTGCGTCTGTTTTAATTACTCTGCAATAATTTAAAGTAAACAGATCTGTTGAACTGAGTTTGTTAAACATAAGAAACTGAGTGTCGTGCTTTCTTCAGATTGTGATTTAAAATATTAAATGGGCATTAAATATTGGACATTACGTAGTCAATGAGCAATTGATATGAACCAGAATAACGTCCAGATATTACCCTATTTACACAAGAAACAGAGTGTTATAGGAGTCATGTCGGTGGAATATCTTACTTTTTATAATGCACCGTGAAGCCGCTGTATGTATGTATTATATATACTAGCAGGAACCCGTCTAACCCTAAAGCAAGTGGTGTCAAGACTCAAGAGACTAAAATAATTATTACCTATTTAATTGGCGTTTTTTACACCACTTTGGGGTCCAAATTTTGGGCTCTAAAACTCCTATTTATTGGCCAATTTGAAGGCCATTAAAGCATTTGACCCAGTCAAAAAAGTTTCAGTTGTATATCTTTTACGGTTTTTGCGGAAAGTCGTGTTAAAGTTGATGCCGTGGTGTCAGTAAAATGGCACGGATAAATAAATATATATATATATATCGTCTCGCTTTATATATAGTAAGATGTGGCTATATCCGCTTTTTTACGAAGAAAGCGAAATGGAGGGTTCATTCAACTTTATGGCGCGAAATGTATTCAAGCCCCAGGCCCAGCTGGGTGGTTTGAATTTGTTTTATTGACTCAAACTGACTTGTATTTTCAAAGCAGGACCAAAAGTCCGAGGGACAGGCATATCGCTGGTATTTATAATCGCAGAGAAACAGATCAATAAATAGCTCAATATCTGGGGGATGTCAAGCAGAGATTAAATCTGTAGGACTTAGGTTACATAATTTACGAGCATTTTTTAGAACACTGCAGTTTGCTACTTACTTTTTCCAGTTGTATCCTATGAAAGAAGTTGATCGTCCGGGCTAGTCAAACTTGTCTTTAAACTGTTTCAGTCTATGCTTTTTAATTTCATTGTGTTCTCTACTCTGTGTTCTCTACTCTGATCGCTAGCCAAATTGAACTTTTTGTTGAATTAATCCCATCTTTTGTGCATCAATTTGTTCTGAACCGCATACTAAATTGGCAAAATAATGGCATGACAACAAGAGCTTCAGTTACAAGCTACACCTCATGGGGGATAATTGTATTGTTTTTAAATTCCCTTGCACAAGCAGTGACCACAGCTCTATGATTCACTAGTCAGTCAGATTATATCCTCGGGCATCACGTGTTTCTAACGTATAATTGAATTATCTGAGGGTGACCAACACTAAATCTAAGGTACGTTCTATCAATGCACAGTTGTAATGTTAACGTTTTGAGTTGGAATATAAATTAAATTTAACTTTAATATGGGTGATGGGTTCATGATGGGTAATGGGTTCGTGCAGTTTTACGGAGATTAGTCATTGACTTATCTCCGGCGTTGTCAGCAGACAAATCCCCGAATAGTACACCTCAGCTACACCTTAGCTACACCTCAGCTACACCTCAGCTACAGTTCCACTCCCATCATCCGTACAGATTGTGCAATTTAATAAACATTAGTCACGTGACCAACTTTCTTATTTTTGCTGCCATTGTTCACCAATCACCGCGTATCTAAGCTTTTGTATGTTCATTCGACTTCATTAAATTGTCATTATTCTCTTTATCCATAAATGTCATATGTAATTTGAGTTCAGTGATGACAGATCTCCTTGCATAGTTCAATGCTATTAAAAAAGGAGCGATTAGTTTCTTTATTGATAGAATAAGCTGTCAACTGTTTTCATTAACTACTCAGTACTCACTTGATGTGGAACTACCACCGTGTTCTCGGGCCGCTTGGGTTTTGTGTCGTGTCTTGAGCTTCTCTGAGGGGGGAATTTAAACTTACTTAATGTCCACAAGTTACCTATGGACACCAATAAAAACGAAAATAATAGAGAATTCTAACTCATGATTCTTCTAACGTAAATGCCAACTTCACCACAACGGCATCATAAAACCATGGCTATGAAACAACCCATGAAAAAACTTTCATTTTTAAAGGCAACCCCAGAAATTGGACGGGATAAAGCAATAGATGTCCTTGTTGTACGGCAGGTATAACAGAGGAACTGAGAGAGCTAGGGTCTGTAATGCTCTACACTAGGGCACTTAATTTGTTCAATAAGTTCAATAAAACATCCACCGTCTTTCTGTGGGGGTATCCACATGTGGGGGTAACCACATGAAAATGTTGAAATTGTTTCAGCACAGTGCTACTGGTATTATTTACTGAACCTGTCTACATATTCTTTTCTCCTCACCTCGTCAGCACAGTGCTACTGGTATTATTTACTGAACTACATATTGTTTTCTCCTCACCTCGTCGTTACTGGTATTATTAACTGAACCTGTCTACATATTGTTTTCTCCTCACCTCGTCAGCACAGTGCTACTGGTATTATTTACTGAACTACATATTGTTTTCTCCTCACCTCGTCGTGTTTTTAGAGGAGATTGAGGTCCCTTCATCTCAGGTACTGTTCCAGTTTGGAGATCTGTGTCAATCCGAACCACTCGCTTCTTGTTTCGAGCTTGGAGACCTGCTGGAAACGCGTTTTAATTAATAAGATTTACTGTGACGACAAACCCACAATGGGTTAACATTATGAGTTTAGTAGAAGAATAATTCTACGGAAAAAAGTATAAACCAAATACTGTCCACAAAAGCATTGATGCACTATAATGATTTAGTCTGTGACGAAAATGAGTGAGGTAACCTATATTTCCTAAGTATATAGCTCTATACTCTTGGAGGCGCTAATATTTGAACCCTTTAAATAATTCTATTATAATGTTTCACGAGATTTTTATCATGTGAATTTTTAGTTTTACACTCGGTATCCTCACATCTTAGTTTATATTTTAGTTGTTACTAAAGAGATCATGTTTTGTTATTGATCGAAACATTTTTTTTGACGTGACCCGTTGTTTCATTTTGTATATAGCTATATACAAATACCACATAGCTATAGCAGGAAGGTTATGAGGATTACATCGTGGGTTGGAATGACCTTCAAAAAGTCCATTTAACGAGTTATTTTAGAAGATCTAGCAAAATTCTGGTAATCTCTTCTCATGCTCAACGTCTAAGATAGTTTCCCATGAGTAGCATCCGCAGTAAACGTTAAAAACCTCACTATTTTCTCACAGTACAGTGAAGATTTCCAGCCAAATTTCACGTAACTTTTTGATCAATGAGCTGTCTGCGAAGATTTCCCATTTTGTACCGGTTCAGTCGCGAATGTTAAACAAGACCATAATTTAGCAAGCTCGGGCTTAAACGGTGGTCGATACATGGTTTAACTAGGTGACGTCAGTAGTACTAGTGCAGTGGATCGTATTCAAACTCCACAATTCAATAGGTCACGTATTATGAAGGAGCTTTATATCCCGTATTTGTCTTTTTGGTTCAGAGTAATTTGTATTTTTTTAGTAGTGGAACAGCAATACTAAGGTAATGGGACTACTGCGGACCCTCTACCGGCCAAACCTTGTTAACAAAGCCGCAGTCAAGGTTCGGTGAACGGTAGTTAAAAGCGCTTAAGGGACATAAGTCAAAATTGGTAGAGCAACATCATGTAGTGGACATCTTAAGAAATGAGGAGTGGGTAGAATGTTAGGTTGCTCCTTTATAAATCGTCTTTTTCTCCGATAATAAGTTGACATCAAGTCTTGAAAATTATTCGAGAAGAATCTCGAATAATTTAGTTGCAGCGTGCCACATGGCTATCTAAACTGCAAACCCTACCCATTGCTGAGCAAGGCCTTTATCTTCTCCGACGAGCGGGATCATCAATAATGAGGTCTGATCGTCATCTACTTACAGCGTTCGATGTCTGTGTGAAGGTAAAATGGTGATATCCTCTGGATCAGGCAGAGGTTGAGTGTTATCGGGATTATTTCTTTAGTAGTGGAACAGCAATACTAAGGTAATGGGACTACTGCGGACCCTCTACCGGCCAAACCTTGTTAACAAAGCCGCAGTCAAGGTTCGGTGAACGGTAGTTAAAAGCGCTTAAGGGACATAAGTCAAAATTGGTAGAGCAACATCATGTAGTGGACATCTTAAGAAATGAGGAGTGGGTAGAATGTTAGGTTGCTCCTTTATAAATCGTCTTTTTCTCCGATAATAAGTTGACATCAAGTCTTGAAAATTATTCGAGAAGAATCTCGAATAATTTAGTTGCAGCGTGCCACATGGCTATCTAAACTGCAAACCCTACTTTATCTTCTCCGACGAGCGGGATCATCAATAATGAGGTCTGATCGTCATCTACTTACAGCGTTCGATGTCTGTGTGAAGGTAAAATGGTGATATCCTCTGGATCAGGCAGAGGTTGAGTGTTATCGGGATTATTTCTTTAGTAGTGGAACAGCAATACTAAGGTAATGGGACTACTGCGGACCCTCTACCGGCCAAACCTTGTTAACAAAGCCGCAGTCAAGGTTCGGTGAACGGTAGTTAAAAGCGCTTAAGGGACATAAGTCAAAATTGGTAGAGCAACATCATGTAGTGGACATCTTAAGAAATGAGGAGTGGGTAGAATGTTAGGTTGCTCCTTTATAAATCGTCTTTTTCTCCGATAATAAGTTGACATCAAGTCTTGAAAATTATTCGAGAAGAATCTCGAATAATTTAGTTGCAGCGTGCCACATGGCTATCTAAACTGCAAACCCTACCCATTGCTGAGCAAGGCCTTTATCTTCTCCGACGAGCGGGATCATCAATAATGAGGTCTGATCGTCATCTACTTACAGCGTTCGATGTCTGTGTGAAGGTAAAATGGTGATATCCTCTGGATCAGGCAGAGGTTGAGTGTTATCGGGATTATTTCTTTAGTAGTGGAACAGCAATACTAAGGTAATGGGACTACTGCGGACCCTCTACCGGCCAAACCTTGTTAACAAAGCCGCAGTCAAGGTTCGGTGAACGGTAGTTAAAAGCGCTTAAGGGACATAAGTCAAAATTGGTAGAGCAACATCATGTAGTGGACATCTTAAGAAATGAGGAGTGGGTAGAATGTTAGGTTGCTCCTTTATAAATCGTCTTTTTCTCCGATAATAAGTTGACATCAAGTCTTGAAAATTATTCGAGAAGAATCTCGAATAATTTAGTTGCAGCGTGCCACATGGCTATCTAAACTGCAAACCCTACCCATTGCTGAGCAAGGCCTTTATCTTCTCCGACGAGCGGGATCATCAATAATGAGGTCTGATCGTCATCTACTTACAGCGTTCGATGTCTGTGTGAAGGTAAAATGGTGATATCCTCTGGATCAGGCAGAGGTTGAGTGTTATCGGGATTATTTCTTTAGTAGTGGAACAGCAATACTAAGGTAATGGGACTACTGCGGACCCTCTACCGGCCAAACCTTGTTAACAAAGCCGCAGTCAAGGTTCGGTGAACGGTAGTTAAAAGCGCTTAAGGGACATAAGTCAAAATTGGTAGAGCAACATCATGTAGTGGACATCTTAAGAAATGAGGAGTGGGTCCCTTAAGCGCTTTTAACTACCGTTCACCGAACCTTGACTGCGGCTTTGTTAACAAGGTTTGGCCGGTAGAGGGTCCGCAGTAGTCCCATTACCTTAGTATTGCTGTTCCACTACTAAAGAAATAATCCCGATAACACTCAACCTCTGCCTGATCCAGAGGATATCACCATTTTACCTTCACACAGACATCGAACGCTGTAAGTAGATGACGATCAGACCTCATTATTGATGATCCCGCTCGTCGGAGAAGATAAAGGCCTTGCTCAGCAATGGGTAGGGTTTGCAGTTTAGATAGCCATGTGGCACGCTGCAACTAAATTATTCGAGATTCTTCTCGAATAATTTTCAAGACTTGATGTCAACTTATTATCGGAGAAAAAGACGATTTATAAAGGAGCAACCTAACATTCTACCCACTCCTCATTTCTTAAGATGTCCACTACATGATGTTGCTCTACCAATTTTGACTTATGTCCCTTAAGCGCTTTTAACTACCGTTCACCGAACCTTGACTGCGGCTTTGTTAACAAGGTTTGGCCGGTAGAGGGTCCGCAGTAGTCCCATTACCTTAGTATTGCTGTTCCACTACTAAAGAAATAATCCCGATAACACTCAACCTCTGCCTGATCCAGAGGATATCACCATTTTACCTTCACACAGACATCGAACGCTGTAAGTAGATGACGATCAGACCTCATTATAATTTGTATTTTGCTGGCCCTGCATAGTCGATGCCTTGTAAACAAACGTTTGTTTACAGAATGAAGCTGTCCTGTTTTGCAGAAGTTGGCCCACATTTTAGAAGTATGATTTGATCGATTGTGGGCCAAATCTGATATTTCCGTACTATACTACAGTTGAGCAGTGTTATGGTGTTTATACTTTCATAGTTTCAGAAAAACATTATTACACAGTACACACTATACACCATGTACAAGTCTATTCTAGTATATCATGTAGCTGCGCTTTTCTGTGTGGTAGCTCAATGTACTCTGTAAATATTACACAGCTAAATAGTTCACGCTGTTTTTTGTTATGTTGTTGTGTTAATTTTGAATGTCCTCTTTAATTACGAAATTCAAAATTATATTCCTTCAGAAGAAATTTGATTCGTTATTGTTGGTTTTGTACAAGTTGAAGAAGGGGCTGTAAATCAGGGAAACAATGAAAAGTCACCAGGACAATAATCACCATGACAATAATCACCAGGACAATTATAATCACTACGAATAAAACATAAAAACAATGACCTGAAGTATCAGCCATCTCCATATCGTCTTCACTGGAGCGATGGAAACAAGGTCCCTCCCAACACGACAGTTCATCGTCAGCGTCTGTGCCTCCTGAACATTAAAATATGGGTAAACTTTAAAGCCGATAGGAATGTATAGAATTAAATGTAAGTTTGCGAATACTAAAGTGTGAATAATTTTAAAGCTTTAAGGTTTAATTGTAAATTGGTATTTGATTAGATTCAAATGGATCCATTGTGAGGAATACCCCTTCTATTAACGAGTCTGGGCCCGTAGAACTATTACTTGTATTACGTATATCTCCAGAACTTTTACCACTTACCCATGCTTTTAGTATTAATTATACACTAATAACATGGTCTATAACTTTCACCCAACGTAATGTGTCATGATGTCGATTCTTTTATATTCTCATTGCTGTATTGTTTATTATGTACTATTTGTAAAAGTTTCAAATCAAATCTTTCACTATACAGATGATTTTATGTGAAAAAAGTTGTCAACTATTTTGTAGTATATTTTACTTTAATTTTACTTATGTTACCATGACAGTCTATGTGGTCAGAGCCGGTAAGCTAAGCTCTCAAGCATAGTCTTAACCGTGGTGTTGCTTGCTGATACTAGCCACTAGGTATTATATATCTTGTTCTGAATGCAATTTAATTTGTTCATTCATCATTGATATAATAAGATATTAATATCTTAGTCTGAATATATTTGAATATTAAGTATCATATGCGTCGTGCGCGTGAAAGAAAAACAGCTTGTGATTATTGTACAAATCGTATTATTCTTATGCACAGCTTATGAAAATTAATATAGCCACTTTTAATTTCAGTTCGAAGATGTTAACTCACTTAGGTCACCTTGGTTCATAATATAACTCTACCGGTCGTTGGTCAATCCCCAGAATATCACATCATATTATCAGAGTAAAGGACAACACCACAACTCCTGGCTTAAACTGTCGTGTCCACCTGCAAGCTATTCAGCTGACAGGAGTTGTGTTGTGCATTACTCAATTCAATTGTTCAGAGTATGGTGAGGTTATCTCCTTGTTAATATGTACACTGTACATTTGTTAACATGTACTACACTGTACATTTGTTGACCTGTACACTGTACATTTGTTGACCTGTACACTGTCCATTTGTTGACCTGTACACTGTACATTTGTTGACCTGTACACTGTACATTTGTTGACCTGTACACTGTACATTTGTTGACCTGTACACTGTACATTTGTTGACCTGTACACTGTACATTTGTTGACCCTGTACACAGTGCAGAGTACCTTTGTCGACACTGATTACGATATCATAAGCTCCAACTTAATCACGAAACCATCGCCGATTTATAATTGACAGATTCGCATATTCAGTCAACGTTCATCAGGGACAAAAGGAAATCGCGGCATGTACGGAATCGCGATTTTTCCCATTATTTGCGACAAATTTGATGTATAGTTTAATATACCGCGAAGTGAAATTCGCGGTATCGCGATTTTTGGCCAAAATCGCCGCGAAATCCTTTTGTCCCTGACGTTCATGTCTGAATTATTGGCAATTAAGATATGCTGAGCTAGCCGTCATCGTAAATAGACGTTTATTCATCGGTACCGTTTAACTTTCAGGAAATCAGTGTCATAATTGACAATCAAGACATGGTGTATATTTAAATGTTGTTAACTTTTGTGTGTATATCTACAGATCCCCTCCAAATGTGAGGCGTCACATACCGTTAAGCAGGTTCAGAGGTCTGAGGTTCTTTGCGGGTCCTAAAGGTTTGCCACATTTCTGTAAAGGAGTAAGAATATTTTCCATAATATCAGTCACTGATATATGTATTGATCGTAAAACACTGATTTACAATATCTGAGAATGGTGCGCTAAAGTTGGTTCCTGCCTATTTCAAGCGCTCAGTATAGTAACAGTAATTAGTCTTACGCCATGTTTGGTGATTGGTCCAGTGGTAGATATAAACAGCTGTGTAAATTATAAACAGTTGGATCAGTTGCAGGTTTGAGGTTTATGTATTTTATCACATCTTTGCAGTTTAGCGAACTTGAGTTTTTGCGAATTTACGGCTGGAGGAATTCATGACGCAAATTTTTGACATAATCCAATTTGAATTGTCAAATGAGTATTCAGTGATGGTAATTGTGTAGCTCGACACGTACTTAAGTTCAAAAAGCCCTGAAGTTCGACAGAAATTAGTACGGAAGTTCGACAGATCCTTGGCGAACTACACTGCGTGAGTCAGAGTAGCTCTTTTGCGTGGTTCATCTGGAACTTAAATTGTATTTGATACATTTGAATGTATGAATAGCATTAACAATGAATGCTCACACATTGAATATAATTGTATCTACAAATTCGCTACCTCAACATTCATTGGAGAGGTAGAACAGCTGATATTTTTAATATTTAAATGTGTGTCCTTTCTTTTTTGTTTTAGTTTGTTGGTCTATTTCAAATGTTCAACAGGGTTGTAATAGCTTTGTTGAAGATCAGAGAAGAGTTGAGGAATTGAGGGACAGCAGTCTGACACAATGTTTAAAAAATTCCTAAGATTCCAACAGTTTCCAACTTTAAGAACAATAGCATTCAATAGATCAACCTCCTCGTGAGCATCAGTTAGCTTTAGTTTTTCTTGATAATGTTTTCAATGCTGTACATTTTATACGGGTAGAGTGCAGAGTTATTCATAATATTCTAAAATACTATACAGGAGAATTAATAATTATGTTTTCAAGCTGCGAACTGTGAAAGCTAATATGTAATAGGCAATAGCTAAGGTGTCCTTTAAATTTAGAGTAGATTGTAGTGATGAAGAAATAATATCCCATTGTATTGTAGGAGTCTATCAGACCTTGCTATAATCATAAAGCACTTTAAAACTTTTCTGTTTTCCATTTTATGAAAAAGGCCTATTAATGTTGCTTCGCGCCGATAACTTAACCTGAATTTTCATAGGAACTATCAAGCTACCACTAAAAATACGTGAGTCTTGATATCTAAGATTTCTTTGTGAATAAATAAATGGGAACATGGATAAAATTTCCAGAATGCAGAATTGGTCCATGCCAACCAGGTCTGAAGCTGATATTGCGAGGTAATTTAGTATTAAAGTAATCATAGTAGACATGGTTCTGCATAAAGATTCCGGTAAGTAGAGGCCGGGTGCTAAAGAGGTCGGAACGAGGAATTCTTAACTCGTTAATCGTCGTCAAAATCATTTTGTAGTCGACCATAAATTGGTAAAGCACTGATTGTGAGCTTCTTCATTGGTCAACTTTAATTGTAAGAGATAGACGTATTTTAAACAGGTACCCTGTAACAATGTAACTTAAAACAAACATTTCATAACCACTTCAATAGCTTGCCCCGTAGTTACGTAGTAAGAACGTTAATGAACCACCTTTCAATTAGAGGGCTATGTTAACTGCTTGAGTGACCTCTCTCCTTTTTTCACGTGACGAGGGCACAGTTTAACATTTAATTACCACTTCCAAAGCTCCGAGAAACCATAAACCACTTCCAAGACATCACCTCAAAGCTGTGTGATTGTGTTAAAGTCTCAGTACCTCAAAGAACTCGGATGGTCTTTGACTCCAGATTCCATCAGCTACAAAAAACAGCGAACATGGTCAAATAGACCTCACGTAATTGATATTACGATCTTATATAATGCAATTATGCAATCATACACTGCTACTATCATTAATGAGTCGCTCAGTATGCTGAATCGTTGTGTTGCAATCTTTACTTTTTTCCAGTATGAATTGTTATACATTATAAAATTAGCAAGTCGCCGAGGTGAATAAAGCAACAGTTTTTACCTTCTATTCATGATAATATGGCTCATCATTTAGCGAGCTGGTGTTAAAATTGAAAAACTAATAATTTTTAAAAGGTGTCATGATAATTGATAATGATAGTTGACTTATTCAACCTTTCCATTCTATTAATTCGATGCCATGTTGTCGTAAACGTTGCATGCCTCAGTTGGAGTAATTGAAGTTTTCATCTTAATTTCTTATAATAAACTAATGGCGGTTATCACATTGAGATATTAATAATAAACAGTTTGTTTTTAATCGAGAGTCACGAAGCTAAAAGCACGGTGTATAATCGGACCATATTATAACTAACAGTAACATTCCAATACCAGGATGAGGATAAACGTAGAAATATGGAACATATTCGTGGTGAGCATGTTGTTAATGTTGCTCTACGCGGCCCTGAATCCTGCCTGCTCTGTCATTAACACTGCCCTTCAGGACAGCGATACTCAGCTCACTTCTAAACTAGGATACATTAGTATGAGTGAGTTAATAACAATATGTTCATTTTGTAAAAGTGTAACTGTTAAAGCTTAAATCGATGAAGAAAACAACATAAATTCTGAACACGATTTCGGGAAATTCGTTAAGAAAAGAAAAAAGCATGACAGATTCCCATCACGCAGGTCTAATGTCGCTGGTATCGATAGTAGGGGGTATAATAGCCCCTCCCCTACGGACAGTCATGGGTTACAGATCAATCATGGTTTTCTCTGCACTTCTCCATATGGCAGTTTACATTGGTATGATAATTCTCACTGAGTGGGCCGTTCTTATCGGTTCTATTGTAACAGGTATGGGAAACATTCGATATTAGTTATATTCGAAATTTCGAATACTTCCTTTACTAAAGTTTGATAACTTCCCGCTCATAGTTCATAAAAAATGCCTAACAGTACGATAAACAACAGTTGACCTTAAATGATTTCACTCCAGGTTTGGGCGAAGGAATAATTTGGGTTGTTATCCCAAACTTTGTGACGATCACTTCGGAACACAGGAACATTGAAAGAAACTTGAGCTACCACATGTTTATATATAACTTCAACGGAATCGCTGGTAAGAGTCGTGATTCTCCGTAAGAGTCATACTTCGCATTTGTTCACGATTCTGTTGTTCAAGCCAATTCTAGATGATATAATGGTCTAAATGATATTAATCTAGATAATATTAATAAACTCGATGTTCCCCCTAGGTAACATTCTAAACTACCTCTGTCTCGACGAATCCACTGCGATAACAGACAGCTCCAGAATCCGCTACTTCACAGTTTGCACTGTGTTCACTTTGCTCGCATCACTGCTCGGTGGTGTCGCAGTCTGTTCTCCCAGTAGCTCTGACCAGTTTTCGTCTTTGAACGAGGACTCTGATTTAAGGTATGTTATTTCTTGAATCACCGCTACATTACTTATTTTCAAAAGCCGAAGCTTTAAAAAGCCAATTTTGATAGATTATCTGCTAAGAATCAAGATAGAAGCCATAATCTTTAACAAACTCTCAGGTTAATATCAGATATTGAGCCAGACACAACAAAACTCCTACCAGATTCTGACACCGAGAAAACTATCGAATACAACTCAGAGGAGCACTTTCCCCAGACCCTTTACCAGCGTTCTCTAGCCTACATTCGGAACCAAGCATCCGGGCACTTACAATCAGTAGCATGCACCTTGGGGCAGTTTCCACTCTGATGGTAATAGTGCCCATGTGTATCAGTAACACATACGACGACAGACACCTGATACCCATCCTGGGAGGGGCTATAGGGATCAGTAGGATGGTAACCACTGGGCTGTTCGACTGGATGGCCAGGATGACCAGTTACACCATGTTACAATACCTCCAGACTATAGTGTCGCTGATATGGGTGATGTTGGTGTTTTTAGTGTTCCCGGATAACTCCCTACATGAGCTGACACCAGGTGAAATGCCCCTGCTCCTGGTGGGAGATTGGGTGGTGTACGTTCTGGGGATCCTCACTGGGTGTTGTCTTACTTGGTTGGGTGTTCTGGTCACCGTGGCAACCGGCAAAGTTTCCACGGATAAAAAAACTATGAAGGGGTTCCAGCCAGATATTCTGTTCGCTTATACTATGATAGTTTGGAGTATTGGTAGTACGGTTACCTTGGCTATCACACCTTATGTCAGCCTCTATTTCTTCTGTTGTTTATCTTTTGTTGGTATAGCTGTTAACCATTTCTGTTTTTGTAGTGATTTATTGCCATATATTGGACAAATTGTTAAAAAAAATGTAGATAATAAACCTATCAGCTATTGAGGATACCGTTTTGTATTAAAAATGAATTTGTTTACTCTATTTTATAATGATACTACAGAATGTCCCAATTTTGATTGTGACAACATTGATTTTTTCATGAAATGATATTTTGAAATTGTTTTGAGAATTTATAGTTTCAATGAGAGATAGTAAGCAGTAAATTGACTTTTATAAAATCCAGCAAGAAACTTATCCAGTAATAAAATTCTACAAATCATGTAAACTAGTGTATGATACAGCGCTGCTATCTATTGAATAAAACAAATAAGATAATCAGAAAAGGAGTACAAGGTGTTTCAAAATGATTAAGATCGTGAGATTCCAAGAATAGCTTTACAGTTTACATACCTGAACATTTCAGATAATAGGATAACTATCAATCAATTTTGAAGCTACTGTATAAATTGTTGCTAAGGACATGCTTGTTTGTAATTGTATTATCATCTGGAAACATCTCGTGTACTCCATTTTAACGTTCGGGAAATAAAGGCAGCGATGGTATTGGTGATGTTAAGTACCTGCACCCTCGTTATCTAGCATGGAAGCTAGATATGTACCTCGCTCTCTGCTAGTCAGTAGTCAGTTATATTGGTCATTCGAGCCGAAATAAGGGGAGAAATTGCTCCAAGTGTGACAGTCTCTAATTTGCTGTACTATTGGCGATTACAACTTGAGGTGACAAATCTATGCTTTCAGTTGGCCTGTTGCCATGAACCACAGCGTTGATCCAGTCTCTTAAACTTTTCATTCTACAAAAATACAGAACTGGATTGAGTGTTGCGTTTATAACCATGCTCGCAACATCTGATATCAGCCAACTGTAGTAAAACATGAACTTGCTTCCATAGAAAGGTTCTGGATAGTCTTCTGGATACTCTAGTTCAGTTATGAACCACAGAATGTTGTTCAGAAAACAGGGGAGGTTGCAGGCCAAATGAAGGATTGTGAATATTCCCATGGTTACTGCTGCTTGGTGTTTTTTCTTGTTTGTTTTTGAGATTTGTCCGTTCCGGAACAGCATGAAAAGGAAGGCAGTGAAGCTGATGGTCGTGATAATCGGGGGACAACCCACACCGATGGAATGAATCAGCTGGTCGATGTACGGAAGAGGCTCTTCTACAACATCGTATAAGCAGTAGATATCCGTGAATCTGTACATAAAAGTATTATCGTCTTCCTCAAAGATTAACACTATTATAAATCGAATAGCGAATAATCCGGAGTAGAGAAGGAATGAAAATATCAGATATCTTCTTCTGATCTGGTATTGGAGGAAGATCAGCTTGATGGACCGTGAAACACTCAGCAACATCACCAGAAACATTGACATCTGTTGGAGGTAATAGAAAGCCACACTCCATCCTTTGCAGAATATAGTTTCTCCGAAAACTCCCGGTCTTCTGGTGTTAAAAAGAGCTACCATGACTGGTATTTGGACAACACAAGTACAGACATCAATGCTGCACACGATCGTGTAGATCAGATTTGAAAAGTTCTTATGTTTTACGGAGTAGAAGTAGAGCAGGGAGACAATGTTACCCGGGAGACCGACTAGAGTACAAAGAGTGAGAAGGAGTGCTAGAAGGGTGTCACATATGTTGGATAGTTCACTCGACAAGAACTCTTTCAAGTCAGGCGACGTGTTAGGAGCGACTGTAGTCATAGCAACTGTAGTGATGTTGTTCATCTGGGGTCTGGTTATCTCCGCCTATGAAGAGATTCAAGCTGGAAACAAAGCGCTTCTGAGATGCTTTGGCTAAATGTTTGTAGGCGAGATTAAAGCGAACTAAATTCTATTTTTGGAACAAATAAGGGTATAGTTAATACTTTAATAGAAGTTTAAGTGGTGATGATGATCCTAGTAAAAGGGTAATCTGCAGCAATTTACATTTTTTTTGTTTACCATTAAGTCCAACAAACTGCTATCTATTGCGATTAAACGAACTAGGAAATACTCTACCTCTACAGTCTACAACTTTACACTGATAAACGCGGAAAATATAAGCAACACGCCATGTTTGTGATGAGCATTACTATTAGAATTAAAGACCTTAAAAAGCAATAAATGAGTGTCAGATTAGCCAAAAATAAATTAACAACCGGCTATTGAATAAGGCACCGTTAACATATTATGAAAGCTAACCTAGAGGGAGTGGGTTTGGAATAGGCTAGTGTATAAACTATAATTAAGTTGGTGTATAATTACTTCTCAATGGCGTTAACTTCGACACAATAGGCTCACAGATGGCGGAGGTTTATAAAAAGGGTCCACATCTTGGTTACATAATACGAGAACCGCTACCGTAACAACTAACGAGTGTGTCTGTTAACTACCCAGTAATCGAAGTTATTTCACGAGGACTGAGTAGTCCGTAGTCCACGACTTACGAGTACTGAGTAGTCCGTTGCGGAAGATTGCAATTGACTCACTGGATGTGGTGTTGTTCCAGTTATATTAAATTCTAGTCACTAACGAGTTGTTTTGCCTCATATACCAGTTTGTGGTTATACAGTCCAACTGCTATACAGTATACATGCAGTATAAACTATAAATTGATCATCCTTTCAGATTTTACATTTTTACTATTTATTTTCCTTACCATCCCGTTATATATGAAATGGAACTTAAGGAGCCTGAGTACCATTAAAACTTAAATTTTGATCCAAAAATTAAAATTAACTAGCATAAAATTAATTAGCAGCCCAAATTGTGAGAGGCTAAAACTACAAAATGCCCTTATTATGAGCAGTAGAGGGCATATTGCACAGAGAAGTGCAGTCCATAGGAGTGCTGATAAGATTAAATAATGGATCTGAACTGAAGATAGGAGAGCAAAATAGCCGCGCGGAGAGCCGTTAGAACATTGCGTCATTCTATTAACCTGGTATAATTTTTATCTTTTGTCAGTCATTGTTACAGTTCATTATAGAGATAATTTATATCAATATATAACTGATCAGCGGCCGATTCTTTAGTTAATCCTCAGTCCCAGAAGGCTAATGTGGTTTGTAGAAGAGATGCTAATTAGGTGAGCTAAGGAACATTTATTACCTCACCTACGATGTGGGCAGTGGTGAGCACAAATAATTGGATCGCAACACCCCGTGCAATCGTCTATATCGCTCAGCCTTACCAATCAAATGAACACCGTTCATCCTTAGTCTTACCAATCAAATGAACACCGTTCAGCCTTAGCAATCAAATGGACACCTGAATGATATACGATATCTGTCGCTGACTTTAGTGAAAAATTGAGCACAGTGGTTATATCGGGATTAGCTGATATAACCACTAATATTCTGCCACACTAGAAATAAAAACAAAATGATGCAGATTGTAGCCAATTGCGTCAGTCAGTTCGCTCGCGCCCCACTATTGCATAGTTACGCGGCATTGCAGTCGGTTAATCTGGGCACCTAAAAAGTATGAAAGTCGATTGATAACGAAGTCAAGGGTAAGTGTAACTTACATCTTGTAGTAACTGATAAGTACCTATTTATTTAGTAAATTTAAATCGCGTCAAAAAATATCCTACACAACCGAAGATACAGCCGATTAAAAATTTTCTCGCACTAAACACAACGTAATATCACCAAAACCGATAAAAAATGCCGTTTTTACAATCTTTGCACGTGCACGTGCGTATAACAACTTAATAACCCTCGTTACCATGGTTACTACGCAACTTCCTATTTCTCGTCTGATTTGCACGTGGGCGGTCGTACATACATACATTCTACAGAAATAATTCTCTGAATTATATAGTAGAGATATATCAGTAATGATGTAATGACCGGTAATGAGCGCTTCCCAAACACACAAGGATATATCTTGTGTTCTTGGCTAGTATATATGAAACATTTGACACGGAGTTGTGGAGTGAGCTATGTGCCTCGCCGGGCTAAAGTAGTGAATGTCCTTGCTGTAAGGCAAGTTAAACAAGGAACTGAAACTATTAGGTTCCGTACAGGCTCAACTCTGCACCCATTTCAATATGTTCATATGCAAGCCTCTTGCTTATATATACAGGGTGGCCCATAAGTGACTACCCACACGCAACCTCTTAATAACTCACGTAATTCGTCTCCAAATTGCACCAAAATTTCAGAGATTATAGATATGGGTCAAACTTAGATTTCCTGAAAGTTTCGTAAGCCACGCCCAATTACAGTGGGCGTGGCGTGACACTCCCTCTTTTTCACTGTATATATACCATTTTATGTATACCATTTTATATATATTATATATAAATGGTCCACGACAATATATATTATATATAAATGGTCCACGACTTCCATTTTAACAAGACTTTCCGCGAAAACCGTGAGAAATATAATTTTGAAACTTTTTTGGCTGGGTAGAATGCTTTTATGGCTTTTTGGTCAGTATAAAAAATAAAAAATCGGCCAAGGAATAAATAATTTAGGTCCCGAAAATGGCCCAGGTGGTGTCAAAATCACAAATTAAATAAATAATATTTAATGTCTCTTGACACCACTTTAGAGAATCACGGGTTCCTGCTAGTTAGTTTAACGTATCAATGGCAGCTACTCGTGCTGATAAAAATATACCATACTCGTGAGCAGTCCTCATGATCTGAGATTGAACCCAATCTCTCATACTTTTCATTCTACAAAAATACAGAACAGGGTTGAGTGCTGCGTTCAACACCGTACAAAACACCTCAGAAATCACCCAACTGTAGTAAAACATGAAGGTGCTTCCATAGAAGTTTCCACGATATAGTTTGGTAACGAACCACAAAGTATTATTCACAAGACAGGGGAGGTTGCAGGCCAGAAAGAGAATGGTGAACATTCCCATGGTCACTGCAGCTTGTCGCCTCGTTTTGTTCATCTGTGAAACTTTGCTCTTTTGGCATAACACAACAATGAATATTATGAAACTGATGGTGGTAACTATTGGAGGGATGCCAACACACAGGGCGAAGATCAGTTGGTCAATGTATGAAAAAGGTTCCGTTTTGAGATCATAGAAGCATTGAACATCCTCATGTCTATACACGAACATGGTTTGATCTTCTCTCCCAAAGATCCACACCATCGTGAATCTAATAGCGATGATACAACTGTAAAGAAGAAAAGAGACGACCAGGTATCTTCTTCTGATCTGGTATTGAAGAAAGATCACTTTGATGGACCGTGAAACACTCATCAACAGCACCAGGAACATTGACATCTGTTGAAGGTAGAAGAAAGCAGCATTCCAGGCTTTACAAAATGTAGGTTCGGCAAAGACTCCTGGTCTTCTGGTGTTAAAAAGAGCTATCATGACTGGTATTTGTACGACACAAATACAGATATCAATACTGCTCACCAACGAGTAGATCAGATTGGAAAAGTTTTCTTGTTTTGCGGAGTAGAAGTAGAGCAGGGAGACAATGTTACCTGGGAGACCGACTAGAGTACATAGTGTAAGAATGACTGCTAGAAGGGTGTCGTATATTCTGAACTGCTCTTCTGACAAGAACTCGTCTACATCAGGAGTAGAGGGAGGTAGCTGTGTCATCGTGAAGGCTCGTCTGAAGTTGTTCCGTTAATTTACCTAATTTTGAAAAAGTATTTAGCTCTGAGTCGTGAAATAAAAGTCCGACAAACACAAAATTGCTAAAACAGAAGTCAGACTCGTAAAATAATTAAAAATGAAAATAACAACCTAACATTATATGATTAAACATAATCTGTTTAGTTCAATTCAAACCTATAGATATTCGTTCGTTAACCGCTCCAACAGCATAAATATAACATCTAAAATACAAAACCGCGAAAGATAACATCGAGACAAAAGATATCAGAGAAGTTCCTAAAACCTAAAGCTTAAACCGGTAAGAATCTTACTAAAACGAGAACGACAACACCACTATTGAACAATTGCCCATTATCTCGACCAGCAATAACACACTGTTAGAGCTGTGTATGAGGAAACTTTACAAAATGGAAACCCCAACAGGTACTGTTAACACTTTGAACTATTCTAACGATTAATGTAAAAACGTTCCACTCAGCTAGGCTTGAACGACTTACAGCTGAATGGTAGGTCTCAAGCCATGACTGACTCCGTTGACGACAATTAGTATAATTACATTTGGCAATAGTCCTCAATTCAGTAGAAGTTGTTCCACTTGTTTTAACGTCCAAATTGCATGTTGGCTAGACATTCCTTGAGTGCACTTAACGACACAGAGTTGAGGGTTGGCTCACAAATTTAAAATTTAATGTATCTTATATTTGTGACTCACGCTTTAAATTATGGGAATGGCACGTGTCCAAGTGTGCACGTGGGTTTAAAAGGGTGGACGGTGATGATCATCCAGTTTTTAAAGCTCATATTAATAAGACAGGATACTTTGGTACAAAACTAGTAAGTGTACATGTTTACTCAAACTGCTGAAACATAACTTCAAAAAATGGCGTGAACTAATTTATGTCAACAGTCTCCTAACGTATTTTAAAGTATCATCTCCCCCATAAATTCCTTAGCACTCTTAAAAAATTAAAACAAATACAATAAGGTTAGCAAAGTCCAATTCCCCCAGGTTCGTGACTGCACCAGTCCTGATAAACGATTAGACTTAATTCAATTTAGGAAGACCACCCACAGAAATATTCATTTTATATTGTCCGATTTTTGTTGATTTTATTTGTATGATTTCTAAAAACGATAGTGATGCTAATCTCTTGTTCAGTCTTCAGATAAAATAAGTATTCAAACTCAATATGCACTATCTATGAAACTTTGGCTGACTTCGGTGAAATTATCTTCTTCAAGAATGGAAAATCTTTTGGTGGAAATTCCAGCTCCCCATGCCAAATCTTACCGTCGGCGAAAAAGAGTTCAGAAATTTAAAGGGTTCTTACAATAAACGGGACAGGGACTTGCTTAGGTTCTATTTTTAAACAACAGAAGATAGTATGAACTGTATCACAGGTCAGGATGCTAATAAATGGTTGCTAGAATTTTCGAGAATAAATACAGCGGGAGATTGTGGTACACCGAGACATTATTAAGACGGTACGTGCTAATGAGGCTCTCAACCTCATAAACCGAAACAATGTGAAACATTCGAATTAAAGGACTGAATATTGATCAATATTGATCCGTATAGGTCACTATGACAGCGGGGTAAAGTTAGAGAAATGATCAGGAATAACCAATTTCCGAGGACCTGGATATAACCTGACTCTGTCTGGCACCAACGTCACAGGTGATGACTTGGTGACATCACGTGGTGAGGTGACGAAATTACAATTGTGAGAAATTTAGAATATTCCCTTTTGTCAGCTACTCAATTCCGTTTTATCAATATGCAGAATCATTGCATGTCCCTGCATCACTTATTTGGGAAATAATTTTCTAACATTATAAAAATTGTATTCGAATAACTGCAACGAATTTCTACCACCACTACCAGTCCCAACAAATATAACAAGATATTTTGGGATCATGATATCAATACATGCGACGTGAGTGAGCTGCCCAATTTCACATTATAACCACTGACCGACTGACGTTACCATTTGGCGCCCCGGACCGGCACACCACCGCTGAAATTTTGAAGAAAACAAAAGTAGAATTTGCCCCACACGCCCAGGAGGTTTTTGTATCCCAAATATTCTTCCGCGTTGACTGAACGTTCAATTAGCCGGGATATGGTACATTTTGATGCCAAATCGGACGATTTCTCGTTAAAAAAAGAGGTACAATTCGGGACAAAAGTGCTCCCCTCTAATGGCTTTCTTAATTAGTTTTAAACTAATTACAAAACTATAAATCTATTACATTTATTGAGGACGATGAATAAGGCATACACGTCGTAATCAAGTCGTAATTTTGCTCGCATCCTAAAGTACGTTCTCTTGTATCAAGCAAGCAAAATTGAAGGCGAATTAATTTGTGGAGGACCCGATCCTGTAAAACAAAACAAAACCAATTAATAAATACTCTTATACCCTTATACTGCTATCAAATGTTGCCGTGTCTTATACGTTCCTCCCGGCATATTAATGGCAATTTCCACACACGCCGATGGGCTATTGCTGAAATTCGAGATCCATGGATCATATCTGGTCAAATGGTTCTAGGCAATTTTATTGCTTAAGATGAAATTAAATACGCAGGTAGTAACGTACATGAAATACGAAAGTTAGATAAAGTTAAGGCGAATTATAAACCGCAACGAGATAATAAACGTCCAACTAGTAATAAGCAGACATCACGATTATGTTTAAAAATTGGGTGATTATTTTTTATGGTCTTTTCTTTCTTGGTAAGGTTTCCTGATTATTGATTTGTAATGTGAACTGATGTAAGAATACATTAGTGTAGCCACATTATTATCATTAATAAGTCACAGAGTCATGTTATGACGTTAACAGCTCCATTTCGTCAGAATCCATTAACTGTAGGATCCCATCATCCTGTCATTGATAATCGCTCTACAACAGCTCCACCAGCAGCTGACTGACAACAGGATTATAGTGGGGGTAAACTAGAAATATAAACATAGTTTATGACGCAAAGTTCTGTTTAAAGTATCGTATACTGGTGAAATATCAATTTGTTGTGGCCCAAAATAACTCGTTATAACCGTTGGAAATGGAATATCATAATTACAAGTAATAATTACTACAGCTTTTAATAGGTTAATAATAGTTTAACACTAGGACCCTGAATTTGAATGATATCATGTCGTGATTGGAACTTTATGCCATAATTTTATATTCGTGATAACGATATTACCTAGTAAACTGAAAGAGATGAACTGGTTAAAATTGCAAATTTGGACATTTAACATCTGCGGAGCAATGAACCAGATAACACCAGTTCTGTGGATTGTTAGCGCCAAGCAGCGGTAACCATGGCATTATTCACATTTCTCTTTCTAGTCTGTTTCCTGAACAACATTTTGTGGTTCATGCCTGAACTAAATTATGAGTCTAAATATCCTGAGCCTTTCTACACGAAGAAATTCATGTTTTTCTACAGTTGGGTGATTTCGGATGTTTTTTGCACGGCGTTGAACGCAGCACTCAATCCTGTTCTATACTTTTGTAGAATGAAAAGTCTGAGATAAGGAGATAGGCCTTTAAAAAAATTTTATTCGATTTTGAAAATCGTGGACCTCGAAAAATCATCAAGAAACGAGGTCCACGATTTTCAAAATCAAATAAAAAATGTTTAAAGGCCTATCTCAAAATTCTGCCCAGCTCATCTCTTCTAAATGATCCCTAGAACATATCCTGAAAGTTTCAGGGCGATTGCTCAAACAATGTAGGAGAAGAAAGATTTTTAGACTCGCTTATCAGGGCACGCGATCAAAAATCGCTCGCGCAATCCAATTACACAGTACACACCCTGCACGCGCTGACCTTTGACCGGCAATAATTTCGGCTAGGAACGATATTTTTCCACGGGATCAAAAGCATCTGATAGATATTTCTCCCCTTTATCAGAAACAACTAAAAAGTCGATTTTGAGAAAATTTCCATGAAGACCCCCCCTGCCCCCTTAAAGTGGTTGTACGGTACGTACTAATAAAAAACCTCGTACCGTACGTACTTTAAGCCGGATACGGTACGTACTTCTCATCTTAGGTTAACAGTAGCTCTGTACAACTCAGGGTTAATTCAAATATTGCCTTTCAATGATATGACCTGTAACCAATCAATCGATGCAACAATTTTGATTTCAACTATCTTTTTTATCTTCAAAATAGTATTCGTTAATCGTTTATCTTCAGTACTCCGTTTTTATCAATTGCTTTGTCAGTGATAGTTGTTAGAAGATTTATCATGTTTATTAATGTTATTAAGTGTTTGGGTTTTGGGATGGGATAAAATCGATGTGAGTCCTGCTAAACCGATTAGGTAAAAAAGCGTTAACCTGTTATTCACTGCTTCCATCTAAGCTTTGAACTACCATATATAATTCCATACTATAATTGTAGCTAACTTATTGCAAAAAATATATAATGAAATTTTTGATCTCCATACATGGCAATGATTGGCTGAAAACTGTTGAACTTGCTCTGTCAGAAAATGCAAAACATTATGAAATATTGAAATAGTAAGATAACAATAAAATATTGGAATTAACTTACCAAGGTCGGTAATGTGACCGAGACTGAGAGAGCTATCACTACTAGCGTCACCCACTGACATGGCCTCCTGGACTGTGTCATCACTTGCTACACTGATCTGGAGAGTTCACGTGTTAATGTTTTCTTGATTCAATTTAACAACGGATTAAAATTCAGCAGTGGGATCTCATTCTCAACAGTGTGCCGAACGATTATATAATCAAGTCCGCTACTACGTTATATCGTTTATTTTAGGTCATTAAGGACAAGCGTTCCCGAGTTTAATCAACATAATTTCAGGTGACCTGTAATTTTTTCTCAAGCTGACTAAATTCAATTGCAACAGCCCATTTGAATAATTATCAAAACGTCAATTTCTACTCACCAAATACAAATTGAACTAACCACGTGCAACCCAAAATTACACGTGGAACGAATTATAATAATTGGCAATTATTGCACGTGCAACTGACTGCGCGCATGCGCATATTGAACTCACCACTTGAGAGCTGCCAGGGCTTGTAGGCGTTACGTCCGAACTCTCTGATATGTGGACTGTAGGTCTGTTGACTCGCGTTCTCTTTACTTTACGGTTCTTGCGCCGTTTTAGCTTCTTTCTGGGCGGATGTTCTGCACTTTCTGAGACAAAAGTCAGGTTGTCAAGAATATTGGAGATTATTCTTCACTAATTTGAAGTGTCAACTCTATACGGCCTCTACCTCTCGCTCGATTTTTTGGAGATAACTTACGTCACCTTCTTCAGCTGGCTTTCAAAAAAATGAATATTAAAACAGGCGAGGTTTTACAAATTTACGTATCAACGGGTACACCGGAACCTTATCACATTTACTTTTTTATAAACCCGGCAAGATTCACTGTGAAAATTGCTGAATCACTTTATTTGTCTTAAAAGTAGCCTTATATAGTAAAACCACGATTTACTGCACCCCGATTTACCGCAAACACCGATAAAAATCGGGGTTTTACCAGACACTCAAAACTCTGAACTCACCTAAATTACTAAATACCAGGCGACTAATTGAACCATATAGATCAGTGAACATGTTCGTGAACATAGTGCAAAAAGACAAGATTAAGAAGCAAGTTATTCAATATTCAGTCCAATACAGAAATACTGCAAGGGGGTGTTTATCTAAACGGCGGCAAAAATGTTATATAGTTAAGTTACCCTCATGACTAACACCTATTATGGTATATAAAATGAAAGTATTCTGTATTTAATAATCAGTGACCTACCTACAGGGGAGGGGGGGGGGGGGTTAAATGTCAGTACACATACGTTGGGTCTTAAAACATATTCCTAGAATGAGTGATAATAGCAAGGCATACTCGAATTAATCATTTTAATCAGGCACTCAGTGACTGAGAAACGAGTCTAATGTATGTGTACTGAATTTTGACCCCTCCCCAGTATTTCCAATTAACAGCGATAAACGTTGGTGAAACCGAAAAGTCCCCAGATGCCTTGCCCATTTGCCCAATATTCGCGATCAAATTAATTAGTTTTAAACATCCAGTACTGAAACCATCGTCCATCTGACATAATGTTTTGTGGTCAGCGGAGTTTTAAACCGCAGCTGAATACTTCTAAACTCACTGGGTATTGATAAGGTTGAGAGTTGGTGGCAGAAGTAGGAGTTAATATCGTCAGATTCCTCCCAAGAGTTGCAGGCTGAAAATGGGTCGGGTTAGAGGGAGATCAGGAGATCAGAAGGAAGTGAAAAGCAACTTCTCAGATACAATGAGATAAGGGGTCGGGTCGTTCACATAGGTGACCAAAATGTTTGAACTGAAATCTGACAAACCTCTATTGGAGCAGGTACCATCAGAGGTGATATCCTGAGTGTCACCAAACAGTTTGTGTTTCCGGCTCCTGCCCCGACTCTCTGACGTCATCATATGTCACGTGTTATCCACGTGACGTCACCTCGTTTCTAAGGTGACGCCACAGTACTCCATGGTAAGTTAGTCCGCGAGTTTTCGTATCATAGCAACACACTTCATGCTTTGACGTTCAATTGATTAGTTAGACTGTTAATAAAAGGAGTTGGGTAGATTTTCTAATCTTAATAATGCAACTGCACATCAATTCAATGATGGAAGAAAAGATAGATATGTTAACAATTTACATCAATACTCAGGTTAAGGGTGAGATTTAGTAAGGTATTGCCTCAAACTTACTATTTGCAAGAGCAGACAAAGTGAGTGTATCTAACGAACATTATTAAGAATAATAAAATTATTATAATAAATTATGTTAAAATATGACCTGCATCACAAAAGCTGATTGACAACTGTAAAAACATTATAACCGTTTTGACTCGTAAATAATTGCATAAATAAAGAAAAATATGGAAAAGTTGTTCAAGGGCTCGATGAAAGTAGTTCGCACAATTTCTTATCAAAGTGTTCAGTGTGAAAAATTTTGGTGATCGCATTTAAAGACATCAAACATTAACTAGATAAATGATAGTATCTCTTTCTTTTTTGAAACTGCCACTGTCACCTCACCCGCCTCGACCATCAGCCTTGGTCAGCATGTTCATTCTCTTAAACACAGCAAAACATTTCTTACAAACCACATCCTTCTCAATACAATGCACCTTGCAGTGCAAGTGTCTGTAGTGTCGCTTGAAGTACTGTCTATCAATACCCTTCCTGCACTTGGGACACTGGAACCCCACAGGAGGGGGTCCAGTGGAGTAGTCGTGACCTATCAGAGGTTTGGGCCACTCCGTCAGTTTCTCCAACACCGCCACACAACCCAAACAGAGCTGATCGTACTGAGCACACCCGATCTTACAGTGCTGTTCCCGGTAGTGGCTCCTGATGTAGTGTGCGTTGTGTTTCTGCGATATCGTCGGGCATTCTGGACATTTTAATCCCATTTTGGAGTTGTTCGCTTTAGCACTGTAATCGTAGCCTTCAAGCCCCCGAGGAAATGTTACGATTAGTTTTAGAGCTTTAACACAGGTTGTGCAGATCAGATCATAGTCCCCACACCCTACTGGACAATGATGGACCCGGTAGTGTTTCTTAAGGTAGGCCCTGTCTTTAGTCTTAGTTTCACACTGGCTGCACTTGAAGTAACCTTCTCCCTGGGGTTTTGAGGGAGTTGTTACGGTGGGGCCCAGCGGTGCTGAGGTGGAGGGTGAGGAGAAGGCGTTCTCAGTCATTACTTCAGCGGACGCTATCATTTCAACCTTAACTTTTACCGGCTTGACTTTCTTTCCCTTGTTCTTCACAATCACCTCCGTTACTTCTTCCGCTTCATCTTTATTCTTCGTTTTATCCTCCTCCGCATCATCTCTGGCTTGACTTGGAGTTTCTACCTCAACATCGTCCATTTCTACGTCTTCCTGATCAGAAGCTGATTCCCCATTTGCATTGTCACTTCCTCCTCTATCTCTCTTTGAACTAGTAATTGATCCTCTAACAACAAAGTCTTGGAATTTGCAAGTGTTGTCTAACCTTTTAAAATGCATTTCCCTATTGTCTTCCAAGACGTAGTACCCACAGTTCAGACAGAATACACACCCCTCTGGGGCTCTGTCCCCGGAGGTAAAGAAGCCGTTGATGTGAGTCTCAACACAATCTATATTCTGGCGGAGATGTCTATGTAAACTTGACTTGAGACGATATTCTTTATCGTTATGACTACAATATAACTTCCACACAGCTGTGTTCTCTTCTCTCTCCCCCTCTTCAGCTACGTCACTCTCTTGACCCTCCCCATTCATCTCAACATCTTCATCTTGGTCTCCTCCCCCAACAGTTAAGTGTTCAGCAGTACAGCCTCTATCACTCTTTTCGACGTGGTCATGGATTTTCTTAACAAAGCACCCACAGTTCAGGCAAACCATCCACGGTGCCGGGACTCGGTCCCCGGACTCAAGAAAACCTTCAATATGAAGACTTAAACAAGCTTCACTATTAGTATTCATGATGTGCCGATTCATGTTTTGGGGACTGGCAAATTTGTGGTCTTTATGCGGGCAATACAGCTTTAATTCATTGTTGCTTACCTCGTGATTAAACCCCCCTACAATTTCTTCTTCATTATCGTTTTCGGCTGGAATGTTTTTGTATTTTGTTTGTTTCTCGTGCTTTCTATCGTCTACCCATTCTTCAGCCATAACCTCATTCTTTGGTTCGCCTTCATCATTGTCAGGAATTTTGTCACGTTTTTCTCTCATAACTGCTTCGTGTCTTCGTCTACAGTCTCCATAAAACTCCTGTTTTCTATAATGGAGTTCCATAACCGTGGACTTTACAATGAGACTTCCACAACCGTAGCACAATTTAAATTCAGAAGGGATGTCGTTGTCATTGGCGATTAGATGTTCCAAATTCGTTCGATGGCACTCTGGGCGAGATTTGAGATGATCACGCAGAGTTCTTCGAGTGTTAAATGGGTGGAAGCAACCAAAGCACTTGTACCCGGAAATGGGTGCCTTTTCTGAAAAATGGTGGATATTAAAATTGTAAATTTGAAAGGAATTAAACGGACGATTTTCATCCGAAATATCTTGAATTCATATAACAATTAGGCTGCCGTCTAAGATGCTGCCACTAAATTAATAAACTGAAATTCAAATTACCTTCCCGCTGACGTGGACGCAATTTTCGTTTGTCCTCCTTAAAGTACTCCTTAACATCGAGACCCTTAACATCCCTAACTACACGGATGTGCTCGTCCTTGCAGCACTGTTGGGGCACATTACTCAAGTGGCCCATCATCTTGCCTTCCTCCACAAAATGCCCGCAACTAAAGCAGATTAGAGTTTCAGGTGGCAATATATTTTCGTTATCAATACATCGCTGAATGTGGGGTTGCCGGCAACCGGGCCGTGATTTGAAGTGCTTCCTGATGGACGTGTTTCTGATGAAGAGGTAGCCGCATCCGAAACACTCATATGTTTTTCTACCGGTTTCATTTGCTTCTCCATCTCCTGCAAATGGTGACGTTTTTCTCAGACTGTAAAACTGGTACAGTAGGGTCATCAGTATTATAAAGCTGCATTATTAAATTACAATTACAAAATTCTGAATTTAAAAGTCATTCAAAAGCCCAACTTCTAGATCATGTGAAAATTTCATAGATAAGCATTTGATGATGGTACCAAATTTATTTGTAGAATACAATAGTATTGATCATTTGAATCTTAGGGGGGGGGGGGGGGGGGGGGGTGTCATGTCCGTCTATGTCCGCCTATGTCCTGTCCTTTTTGGATTCTATGAGACAACGGACGTGTTTTTTGGGACATTGGCGGACACGGACGGACATTGGCGGACTCGGACGGACATTGGCGGACTCGGACGGACATTGGCGGACTCGGACGGACATTGGCGGACCCGGACGGACATTGGTGGACTTGGATGGACATTGGTGGACATTAGCAGACATTGGTGGACATTAGCGGACAAACATTTTGAGGACTGAAGAGTACTGAAGAGTACTGAAGAGTACTGAAGAGTACTCAGGAGGATGGCTGAGGAGGATGACTGAGGAGGATGACTGAGGAGGATGACTGAGAGGGAGGAGAAGGATCAGGAAGACCCAGGAGGAGGAGGAGGAGGAGAACCCAGAAAGAGGACCTAGGAGGAGGAGGAGGAGAACTGAGGAGGATGACTCAGGAGGAGGAGGACTCAGGAGGAGGACTGAGAAGGAGGAGGACTGAGGAGGATGGCTGAGGAGGATGGCTGAGGAGGATGACTGAGAGGGAGGAGGAGGAGGAAGAGGAGGAAGAGGACTGAGGAGGAGGAGGAGAAGGACTGAGGAGGAGAAGGAGGACCCAGGAGGAGGAGGACCCAGGAGGAGGAGGACCCAGGAGGAGGACCCAGGAAAAGGCCCCAGGAGGAGGAGGAGGACTGGGGAGGAGGAGAACTGTTGAGGACTGATGAGGAGGACTGAGGACGAGGAGGAAGAGTAGGAGGAGGACTGGGGAGGGGAGGAGGAAGAGGACTGGGGAGGATCAGGAAGACCCAGGAGGACCCAGGAGGAGGAGGAGGAGGACCCAGGAGGAGGAGGAGGACTGAGGAGGAGGACTGACGATGACTGAGAAGGAGGAGGACTGAGGAGTACTGAGGAGGATGGCTGAGGAGGATGGCTGGGGAGGATGGCTGAGGAGGATGACTGAGGAGGATGACTGAGAGGGAGGAGGAGGAGGACTCAGGAGGAGGACTCAGAAGGAAGAGGAGGAGGACTCAGGAGGAGGACTCAGGAGGAGGACTTAGGAGAAATGAGAAGGAGGACTGAGGAGAACTGAGGAGGAGGACTGAGGACGAGGAGGAAGAGTAGGAGGAGGACTGGGGAGGGGAGGAGGAAGAGGACTGGGGAGGATCAGGAAGACCCAGGAGGACCCAGGAGGAGGAGGAGGAGGACCCAGGAGGAGGAGGAGGACTGAGGAGGACTGAGGAGGAGGACTGACGATGACTGAGAAGGAGGAGGACTGAGGAGTACTGAGGAGGATGGCTGAGGAGGATGGCTGGGGAGGATGGCTGAGGAGGATGACTGAGGAGGATGACTGAGAGGGAGGAGGAGGACTCAGGAGGAGGACTCAGAAGGAAGAGGAGGAGGACTCAGGAGGAGGACTCAGGAGGACTTAGGAGAAATGAGAAGGAGGACTGAGGAGAACTGAGGAGGAGGAGGAGGAGGAGGACTGAATAGGAGGAGGAGAAGGAGGGGGACTGGGAGAGGACTGGGGAGGAGGAGGACTGATGAGAAGGATGAGGAGGAGGACCCAGGAGGAGGAGGACTGAGGACCGAGGAGGAAGATGAGGAGGATAAAGAGGAGGAGGAGGACCCAGGAGGAGGAGGACTGAGGAGGATGACCCAGGAGGACCCAGGAGGACTGAGGAGGATGGCTGAGGAGGATGACTGAGAGGAAAGAGGAGGAGGAGGAGGAGGAGGACTGAGGAGGACTGAGAAGGAGGAGGAGGAGGAGGACTGAATAGGAGGAGGAGGAGGGGGACTGGGGGAGGACTGAGGAGGACTGAGGACTGAGGAGGAAGAGGAGGAGGATGAAGAGGAGGAGGACCCAGGAGGAGGACCCAGGAGAAGGACTCAAGAGGAGGAGGAGGACTGGGGAGGAGGAGGACTGTTGAGGACTGATGAGGAGGACTGAGGACGAGGAGGAGGAGTAGGAGGAGGACTGAGGAGGGGAGGAGGAAGAGGACTGAGGAAGTTCAGGAAGACCCAGGGGGAGGAGGAGGAAGAGTAGGAGGAGGAAGCATCTAAATGTTATTTCCATTTTTGTCCGTTTTTGTCCATTTTTGTCCGTTTTTGTCCGCTCTATTTTTTGTCCGTTTTGAAAATATAGGGTACCGAACGGACAAAAACATGATCCCCTATAACAGCAAAAATTGAACATTTTATTCATCAATTTAGGTGTCCATTAATGTCCGCCTATGTCCGCCTATGTCCGTCTATGTCCGCCTATGTCCGCCTATGTCCGTCTATGTCCGCCTATGTCCTGTCCTTTTTGGATTCTATGAGACAAGCGGACAAGCGGACATAGACGGACGTGACACCCCCCCCCCCATCTTAGGATAAAACCATGAACGTATAATCCAAAAAGAATTAAAAAGCATATTAAAAAGTAAAAACAATGTCAAATAAAACATCATATTAAAATTGTGCAATGTGCATCCTACGTGTGCAAAGCTCAATCCCAAAATTAACATTTCAAGATCATAATCTGTTCAACCACAACACGATCACCATCAACCGTTTCAGCAGCTTTCTCGTAGATTTCTTCCTCTTTTACCTCATCGTACTCCTTCTTAATCTCCTCCTCCTTTTTTCAAGACATATTCTCTCTCAGAACTTGCTCGTGTTTCTCTCTACAAATGGGACTGTGAACTTTGAAATGTATCCAGAACTTCTTCTCTATGAAGAAAACTCCGCACCCAAAACAGGGCTGCACTAGCGGCGGTATCTCGTCCAGACGCTCAATAAGTTGTTGAATGTGCGTGTTTCTGTGTTGGTTGGAATGGAAAGAGGCTAAGTGATCGCTAAGGGCTGAGCTCTGAGCGAAGTTTTTATTGCATCCGAAGCAAGGGTAGTCGAATTTCGGGATGTGATTTTTGTTTTGCTCAAGAACGGGACTGTAGACTTGTTCAAGGAGACAGTTGCATTTCTCGCAAGCTTGTCTTTTACGGAAACATTTGTCACCGCAGTGCACTTTTCTGATGTGATAAAACATGTCCAACCTCATCTTGTGGGGGTACGGAGAGTGCAATGTAAATGAACAGTTTGGACACTTGATCTTCTTTTCTTTTGATGCAGCTCCAGATGCTTCATTATCATTCTTTACGGTCAGTTCTGTGATTTCCTGAGGTGGTCTCGGCTGGGTACCATCTTTTGAATCCTCACAGGATCCATCTGGTGGGGGTGAAATAACTTTTTGGCTATCTTTCCGAGGCCTGTCGTGTTCACGGACTGAAGGCACTTTTGGATGTTTGGGAGATCTTCCACGCTTCCGGTTTAAGGCTGAAATATTCTGAGCTATGAAAGGACAGCTCAGGAAAAAGACAAAAAGAAGAAAAAAAGTCATGCAAATATGGGGTAATCATACCTATCAAAACAAGATTTAAAGTTCAGAAATGAAATGATATTGCCAAAATACTTAAAACATATTTTACCTTGATCTGGAACGTTCTCCACTGCCTCCTCCTCTTCATCATTATCAGACACTACTTTAGGATGTTTACGTGGTCTACCACGCTTTCGGGACAGAACTGAGACATTAAAGCAAGACATCAGCAAGAGAAAGAAAAGAAACCAATACCAAATCTTTTATGATAAAATGCCTTGAAAATACAAGAAGCTCTAAAGATCATTAGTAGATTCAATTCAACCCCCAAAACTGATATAATTGTAAGGATAGTGTACCTACCTTGACCATCAGCGTCAAAAACTCTTCTAGTGGGAATTGGCGCACTTCTTCTCGACTCTTTCATTATTTTTCTAACCGCTGCAGGCCCAGGTGCACTTTTTCTCTTCTCTTTAGTCGTCTTGTTCTTCCTTGACCGGATAATCCGAGTTTTTGTGATCTTGACTGCGAATTCTCGGGCATCGTCTCCTGGCCTTCGACTCAGTAGCTCTTCAGACTCGTTTATTTCCTCTTGAGATAGATCTAAAGAAGTAAATTTATCACAATCAATTATTAAATCAGCTGGATATGCAAAACGTGAATCTTGGAAACTTTATTTAAGAAATTCGTTATAATTGGAAAATTTAGAAACAACGTACAGTTCCTGACTTTCATCAGAGGTTTCACAGCCAGACAGTTGTCAACAATCCCGTGCTGAAATGAAAATTTAGTCTCAAGATTAACAAATAATCAATCTATTTCGGGTGTAAGAACATAAATTCCCGTGCAAAGGTGCAACAGTAGATGTTTATAAGAAATTGCTAATCGCTACTCCAAAAAGGGGATAAAATCTCACCGAATGTGTAGGACACAAGACAGTAAACGTGGTTTTGATGAGTTTACATTTAGCCTTTATAGCACACCGGTAATGATACCGGTTAGAGCATCCCTCTTTGAAGCAGCCTAAGCTGGCTCCAATCTCACCACATTCACTGCATACCTGAATAATGTTCATTATTGTAATACGAATGAGAATTGGATGCTTAGACTGTTAATTGCTGATTCAGTCAGGTGATTTTAGAAATTCTCATGTATGTCTTGTGCAAAAATCTTAACACGAGTTTTTATATAAAACTAGATTATGTATATGCTTACAGTGAATCGAGCAACTTTGAATATTTCTTCTAGGCCATAAATATCGAAGCCAATCATATAGACACCCGGTGACCAACAGATGCAATCTTCGTGTAGCCACACTTCTTCCCTGAAAGAAAATTGGATGAAGTTTGAGGAGGTTTTCGAATTCTACAATCGGTTTGACTACCCATAGACCATTGTTAAAATAATTGAAGGGAAGATGATAAACAAAGGAAATGTCCCGCACGACTGTAGAGGACTTGTAATCAGATTATGGAGGGGTCCAGACTCTACGGCGGGTAAGGGTTAGGACTTAGGGTTAGAGTCTTACACCCGGATCCATTGGCCATTATGGACAGTAATTATGGCAATATGTTTTGTTATATATTACCGCCAGTACAGAAGACGCAATTTATAAAATAGAAGAGTAATTAGCGCGCCAAACGGCGCGCGTAAGGTGCGCATTGCACTCAATGGACTTTATCTAGCGCATTCCAAAGAATCCTTTAAGTAGACCCTTTCAAAAAGTGGCAAATCAATCCGCCGAAGTATCACCTCTCAACGGTAATTTCGTTCTCGTCGCTGAAAGCCAAATCCGTATTGAACGTACTGCTCAACTTTTCAAACAGGTTCTTCGCTCCATCGGACATGTTTTTGTTTCTGTAGCTACTCTGAAAATAAGCAGAAAGTGATTTTCTATAAATAGTAACATTTAAAATGTAATATCACGAACTGAAGCGGTTTAGACGAAGCAACAGGTAAATTTGGAATACTCATGAGGTGAAAAACACCAAGCCTACCTTAGGTGGTACATAGATATCAAAAGGACCAAATAGTGGCCCCATGTCTCCATAATCTCCGGTCAGATAACACAATGAACAGAACCAAGTCGGCTTCTTTGTCAACTTATCAATACTGAGACCTTTTTTAACGTTCTTTAAAACCTGAAAATAAAAATAATTGTAATCTGCATGTTATGTTAATCGATTTAGATGCTTAACTGGGTGAACTGAAATACTGCAAATTTGATAAATAAAAAAGGTGCAAAATTCTTGCTGTATGAATTTTCATTCCAAACAAAAAAATGCTCATTTTATGGTAATTTCTCAGAAATGTAACTTAATAGCTAAATTGTGCTCTAGACGGACTATTCGATCGTAATGAATGACGTTAAAGAAAATTTAAAAAGAAATTGATGACATTAATTGAGAAAGAGAGGGATATTTTGGTATCATGTACACTGTAACTGACTAACTGACGTACTCTCAAATAAAAAGGGACAAGCTACCAGTTAGCTCAACTATTTAGATCAAACAAAGAAAAGTGGTAAAACACAGGAAAGACGGCAATAGAATTAAAAAATGAGTAACCTTGTGAACAGTAGCAAGAGAAGATCCAGAAACGTTAGTGAAGCGAGGGTAGGACACAAAGCCCGTAGCTGTACTTGCTCTCAACAGCTTCTCGTTCAAATAATCCTCCTCACTGTTCGTAACAGTCAGATCCACTTGAACAGACGAATCACGAGATGGCTTGTTGTTGATGATTCTATTAGTAACTGCAGTTGGGTCACACATCTCCATAGTCTCGGTCTTGATTTTAGGGGAGTCTGATCTATCAGGTTCAGAGGAAGCTTCTGATTCTATGTGGGGTATATCGGGGCTCTCGCTGGTCCCAAGGGCTGTGGTTATAGCTTCCTTATCTTCCGTTACCTTAAACTTCAAACAATTGTCCTTGTCAAGACAATCCACATCAAAGTTTATGTTAATGGAACCACCAGATTTAGCCAATTTTTTGATCTTATCTGGCATGGATAGGGTGACTTCGCCCTTGGCGTTAAGAGATATGCCAATATCCATAAGAGAGAAGGTTCTGTTAGGGGGAGATGTTTCTGTTGAGAGAGGAGGGGGAGGAGAGCTAGAGCCTGGTGGAATTTCCTCAACCTTGTCAGTAGGTTTATCAGGAACGAGACCACGCTGACTCATGACATACAATCGTTGAAATTGTTTTAATTTCTGCTGCTTCAAACGTTCTGCCTCAGCATCTTCAGCGGATTTTTGTCCGGCTGATGAAGGTGTTGGGGCGGTCAGAGATTTTGAATGCTGCTTCAAGATAAAATTAGTTTCTGGCGAATCTTTAATGATCGCATCATCAGTAAGCTTTATTGGGAGTTTGCGCTTTCTTTGCGGTCGTTCAGCACTGTCTGATAATCGTGCAGGAGTCGTAGAGTTTGAGGAGTCATTACCAGATTTGACACGTTGACGTTTTGATTCGGGCGTTTTTATCTCGGGTGATTTGGGCAGACCAAATTTACTGCCAGGCTCTAACTTCTTTTCATCGCCTTGATTAACCTTCTCAGGGGATGGAGCAGGTTTTAGTTGTTGCTGCACTGTAACCCCATCGCCACTATCTTTAGTTTTGATAGTTGTGGAAGTTACCTGCATCACATTATCTTTATCCACCTCTATATCTGGTGCACTCCTCACTGATACAGCATCTTGTTGTCCAGACACCTCAATATCCTCACTATCATGCAACAGTTCATCTGTACAATCTTTTGGCTTGGATTCACTTGTTTTCAACTGCATGGATTGAGATTCTTTTTGAGGTTCACTTTCCTTACCACAACTCGGCTTTTCTTGTACTTTTGGAACAGAAGTGATGTTTTCTTCTCCAATATCAACTATGACACAGTCTTTAACAGGAATTTCCACCTTTTGAACAGGAATAATTTCCGGATTTTTTGGTTGCACTTCAGTATCACTTGCTGAAAGATTAGCAGAGTTTTGCTTTTTATCAACACTAACTGGTGGCTGATTGGTTGGCCGATTGGTTGACTGATTTGATGGAGGAGATGTAACCTTGTGGTCGTCAGCTTTCTGCCATGCTCTGGTCATATCACAGCTCAACGACCAAGCCTCTGATATGAGATCACCAATTGAGCTACCTTGAGACGGAACGTTTTTACCTTTGTCACCAGGTGACACCACATGGTGACCACTATCACCAGGTGACACCTCAGTTACAGGCCCTTGAACAGGTGTGTTCTGAGCTGCAGGCACATTAAAGTCAGGGTACCTCTGTATCGGCACCGCATACACTTCTTCCTGTGGTGTGACTGGTGAGACTACAGCAGCAGATTTACCAAACACACTTGTTAGGGATTGGGTGAGGAGGTCTGGCGGTTCTGCTTTGCTCTGAAATGAGGGGATGTTTTGAGAAATTTTGGAAATATGTATATCAGTAACTTACAATGTCTAAAATCGTGACTTCCTGAGATGTTCCGTGGACCAAACAAAAAGCACTTAAACAACCAAAAAGTACGATATTATCTTCTCACGGTGTTATCTTCTCGCGATACAATGTCAAAATCAAGAATGACATAATCCCAACACTTTTGTTTCAAATTCATACCAGAAAATCTAACGTGCTTTACTGACTTTGCTGACACATGCAACAATGCAACATACTGTATAATGTACACATAACTTTACCAGCTGTTTGTTATTTTCAGATTCACCGTACTCCATACCAACTGCTAATACTCGCCTATCATCTGTACCGCATAGCTGGTGGGGGGAATTAGTAAAACCATTGTCAGGCCATAAAGACATGACACATATACACCACATAATGTAAAGATTAGTGTAGCATGCGCATTGTGTACGATTGTATCTAATGTACTGTGTACTACACGCAACACACATATTATGTAAGTATTTCAAGAAAATTGTAAAAGTTAGGTTGTGCAGCATTGCGGTAACACGTACTTACGTTATTTAGTATTTAACGTAGAAAACAAACTTATGATTAGCGATATTTAACAGTAACCTTAATTAACAGTGAAGACGGAAACAGCAAGTGCACTATATATAATAGGTTATTAATTCTTTCGGGCATATTCATCAGTTTTTTAAAGATTCTTTTAGAATGAAGCCAAATCATACACGTTTGTGAATTAATGCAACTGAAATAAAATTATTCATAACAGCAAATAGATTTTATTATAAATGTAACTAATTATTAAAAAATTCGATAAATTAAATTAGGTGAGTGTCTGTTAAAACAATTTAAAAAATGGGGAAAAAATGTCAAATGTAGACAATTTAGATACATTTTACAAGGTGTTAAAAATGTTGTAACAAAATTAAATTAAATTGCACCGTTTGAGTGAAACAATAAGTGAAGTAATAAATTAAATACATAGAAAAGTCTATTTTCTAGTATGTTGGATTGTACTTATACGTTTGATTAAAATAATAAAAATTGAGAACACTTTGTTGATGATCTGGTTTTATTTTAAATTGCTCTTTCTCTGTTAAAAACTCTTAATGAAACCAGCCACAAAATTCTAGAGTGCTTTCGAGGGGCCCTCTGTGGCCTGGACCATGGTTGCAACATAGTACACATATTACACATATTACACATATTACAGATACGTCTAAGCAACAGACTAGATATGACATCGTACTACACAGTCGTAATACACTTTTCCAACCACAAATTGATTAATTAAAAATAAGGCATGAATGGTCATCGATATGTCCTTTTCGTCGTCAGAATTGGCAAGAATTAGCAAATGCTTAAGGCCCAAAAACAACAGGTCATAATTACTAACAGGGCAAAACACTTGAAATATCATTATAAGCAGTAAAGATTCGGCTTTTCGGCTTTTTGGGTAAACAATGCAATAGACTTAGCTTCATTTCTTTTCCGTCTTAAAGATTTAACATTTAAATAGTTTAAGATCAGAACATCAACATCCTTATCATGTAGTAAATTATAAATTAAGTTCGTTAGTAAAAAGAAAAATACGGTTTACTTAAACTACATTATACAATGTAATACAACTATAATGCAAACAATTTTTGCTGAAAAACATTTAAAAAACCCTTAACACTCGAATACATGTATAAAAACACAAAATGTTATGATTGCCAACAATAGGCAACGCCTGTTGGGATCTCTACCGCATCTCTAGCTCAATTTCTATTCCCCCACCATATGCATAATCAACAATTTATAAGATTTAAGGCAAAACCATGCCATAACAATTCAGAAATTAAGTTCACTTAAGTATTAAGTACGCATGAAACTAAAACATAATCAAGGAATGTCAAAGTGTCAAAATTAAGTGAAATTAAGCACTTCCGTGAAATTTGCCACTGTTTGCAATAACCTAACTGATAAAATGGAGCTAACTGATTAACGGAAGATCACCACTGACCACGGTGACCGGTTATACAATATCGGGTACAAGGAGCACTACCTGCATAATCTCATGAATAACAATACTCCATTTAATTTAGTAATTAATTGGTAACAAGAAGTCAACTTAACAAGTATTTTATTATACCCATGAAGTCAGCTGATATCCGTGGACCCAGTCAGGGTTTTATGTCATGTGTTTCATGTCACGTGGTTCATGTCACGTGTTTCATGTGACATGCAGCTAACCACGTGATACGAACTCAGAAGTGTACCTTATCACACGTGTAAAATGTGTAACATGACGTGTAACCAATACTCCAATAGACTAAACTTGGGCAAGTGACTTTTGATACTCTGATGTTTATTTTCCCAAATCTGGGTTGTGTGCATAATCAACGTCTGCTGTCTGTGAAATTAGCAAAATCATGCCATATCAATTCATAAATTAAGTCCACATAATTATTAAGTACGCAAGAAACTATCACATAATCAAGGAATGTCAAAGTGTCAAATTTCAGTGAAATTTGGTACTTAAGTGGAATTTGGCACTGTTTGCAGTAATATAATATAATGGAGAAAAAGTCATTAAATTTAAAATATGTTTAACCATTTAAATCTGTCCAATTGCACTTCAGCTCAATAAATTGAAGAATTCACGTTGACGTATCCACAATGTAAAGATAAGGACGTTTAAAACTTTAACTGATTTGTTCCTTTTAGATTAAACAAACACTGAAATTCCAGCAAAACAAAACTGCTCTATGATTTCCAGGCACTCCGGGCATGTTCATTAAAGTATTTCAGTTTGCACGTGTAATTTATGTGCTTTTTCCGAACAATGCTTCACGGATTTTAGTTCTATCTGTACCTTTATTACTTTATTATTTTTGTTGTAAACAACACTGATATCTTAACTGGGCTCTCATTGGCGAACTTAAATTTCCCCCAAGTCCAATATTTGCCTTTTAAAGATGGTCTACCACACCAAGAGATCGGGATACAACAGGGCACATCACCATACATTCGTTCCAACACAAAGTACATGTTTTTAGCACAAACTAGATCATCGTGGAGGTGGAGCCTGTACTTCTTGTAATCAGCTGGATCAGTAGAAAGTTCAATGTTGTAGAGCAAGTCTGGGGAGTCTGGGTTTGGCACAGTAGATTTGAGAATAAACCCACAGTTACCTGATTTTCTGCAGTCACCAGAGGCAGGGTGCTTGAACTTGAAACGGAATTTTGTTTCTGTACCACAAAGCTGTTGCCAAGTTATTGTTGCAGGAGCGTAACAGGGTACCACAGGCCATGAAGCAAACTCATTGTTTGAAGCAACAATTTCGTTACATGTTTCCCACATGCCGAAAAATGACTTTATGTTTTGTTTGCTTCCAAACTTCCATGTTGATATTAATGATATGGGAATACCACCCCAATCTAGATCTGTCATTAATCGGACAATTTGGTTCACCCAATTAGGAAAGTGAACTATCCTGGGATGAAAATCCATCCATGCGTAGAGAGCCTCAGCAAAAATAAACAAGTTATGGACATCATGATTACCAGCTAGCTGATCAAAAAACTCTTGAATCCACAAGTGTTCAAAGTCTTCACATTTATAAAAGAGGTTCGGTATTTTAGTGCTGATGAGAGCAACTGGAAGATCATCTTCAGTAGGATCACTGTCACCAGTAGTGACATCTGCTCCAGCCTCATCAGAAGATTCGCTAATCCTAGACATTATTTTCTTTCGTTTAGAGTTTTCATCCAAACTGTTGGATCCTCTTTTTCTCTCCATACTGGACTTTCGATAAAGACCGAACACTAATTTCATGTCTTCTTTAGATGTGTTTTCCATACTTTGAAGTGTGTCAAATAGAGTCTCATATAATGCCCTATCATTGACTCGACAGATTGACAGATCAGTATTAGAGAGCAAATATTTCATGTTGTCAGTCAGCAATACAACCTTATCGTCTATGTGACTGGCTATTTCAGTCAACAGGTGTTGGACAATAATTTCAACTTCATTGCCAGCAATCCATACGACAAAGTCAACTTGTTGCTGCGTAAAATTCTTAAAATCTTCAAAGTAATTTGAAAGAAATGTGTCGGTACCATTCACTTCCTGGATCTTTTCTATAGTTAAATCCATTAAATGAATCCTACTTTTTGGATTTTCCTTAAAAATGTATAGAGCTTCTTCGAACAAGTTCAACATTGCAGCATAATCTTCTCCATCTATGGCAGAAAGCATCTCCCTGAAAAACTCAGTACATTTGCTTAATAACCATTGCACCTCAAATACAAGAGCCATCTTATTTAAGTCTCTGAACATGGGCTTAATATCATCTTTAGAATCAGTGCAACTCTCTAATTCCCCCATATAACAGGACAAGATAAAACTCTCCACAGCAATTGCACTGAACTCGTCACAGTCCAGAGTTGTCATACCTAAATTTGTTGTGATGTTTTCAATGACTGGACTGTTAAAGGATAAGATCACTGAACTTGCTTTGAGTTCTTTTCCATCTTTAGCGGTAAGAACAAAATTACTATGCGCAGGTGTCCCTATGAGATGTCTCCCAAAATCAGTTGGGACTTGCACTTTTGGTGCCATACCTGCAAATGTTTTCATTTTAGAAGATGATTATGACAATGATTTCTTGATGAATAACACATCAATTATATTTAAAGCCAAAATCTGCTCATTGTGATGCTTGAGCAGAGTTTAAAAGCACAGCAGGCTCAAATGTATTTATTTTTAGCTTGATTTCGATAAAATGTTGGTCTATAAGTGTAGTATGCAGTGATGAGAGAGTTAGTAAAAATAATAACTTAATTCATTCAATAGTTAGTACCATGCATCATAAAAAGATAGAAATGTTAGACTGTATTAATTTAAGAATTTTTGCAATGATTACACTGTCTAACAAGAGGGTGGTTTACCCTTAATTAAGAAACAAAATAATGCAGCACATTACAAGTCATACATAATATATTCTAAAATACTAGTGATAATATAATATGTCCTTGGTTTAAACAACAATTATTATTTCTTTGAATTGCACAATTAAAATTATCGAATTTTCAATGCTGAATTTTTGTAGGCTGTTTGAACTTATAGCTATTAGCTAAACTTGTAGATGTAACAATGAATAAAAAACAAAGCATACAATTGAAAAGATTTATCTTTAACTGTTTTAACACTTTAAAAATAAATTGCACAAATCTTTCTTCAGAAGAAAATCTTCAGCATTCACATTAATATCTGGTTCATATGTAAAAGGGAATGAATGCAAAGGAAATTTAATGTTTATTGAATCTCAGCTCAGTAAAAAAACAATATCAAATACAGTAGGTATGTCATTATCAGGTTATAAATCCTTGCAAATAGTGTTAGTTATTACTCTTTAGGCAGTTTGTTCCAGTCAATGGTTGCCTTCTCGTGCCTGCGGAGATACTCATTTGCTTTAGAGAAGTGTTTGCAGTCAAAGAATCCTTTGTGAGCTGACAGAGGAGAGGGGTGAACTGAAGTCAAAACAAGATGCTTTGACTTATTGATAAGAGCCATCTTTTTTATTGCAGGGGAGCCCCACAGTAAGAAAACACAATTCTTCATGTGATAGCCCATGTACTTAGTTACATGGTCAGTTAACTTCTCCCAGCCTTGATTCTTGTGTGAGTTGGCTTTACCTTTTTCAACAGTGAGAACTGAATTCAACATGAGTACACCTTGCCTAGCCCAGCCAACAAGATATCCATGTCCTGGTTCATCAAAGTCATCTACATCATCTTTGGCAATGGCTTTATAGATATTTTTAAGGCTAGGAGGAGTAGGTACTCCTATTTTTACACTAAAGGATAATCCATGAGCCTGGTTAGGACCATGATATGGATCTTGACCAAGAATTACAACTTTAACATCATCAAGATTGCAGTATCGAGTCCAGGAAAATACGTCCTCATGGGCAGGGTAGATGGTTTTGGAGAGGCGAATCTTTGCCAGATATTCTGTGAGGGAGGTAAAATAGTCTTTAGCTAATTCATTAGACAAGCACTTTTCCCAAGACGATGATATATCCCAGTTCTTCAGGACTAAATTGTCTGAGCACTTCAGTACTTTGCAAGTCTGATTATCTTTTTCTTCAGCATCTTCTAATTCCCTTTTACGTTTAAAGAAGGATGAAATGCCTGCTTGAGCCATATCTGAAAATTAGTTCTGTTCAGTAAAATGTAAATATATTTATGTCACAAGAGGCCAATTCTATATTCCAAGATTCTAATATTACTGAAGAGTGGCCCAAAAGTCAACATACAAACTTTTGGGCTTAAATATAGTATAGCATATATGAAGAACATTGAACAAGATGTTAAGACACAAACTACTTTGTAAGTGCAAATATGTATTAGCCTCTCATTTGTGAATACGATATTCAAAAATATGACATTTCCTTATTCCGTTACGAACATTCATAAAATTCAAACTATTTATGGTGCTACTGGCCATTGCATGCTCCCAATACAATTATGAGTTGAATTGAAATCGGGTTTGGTCCAGTGGTGTAACATTAACATTTGACTGAAACTTTGAGGCAACCCTACAAAAAAACTTTTAAGGGTGCTAAAAATAAGAGAAGTATTTTTTAATGCCCCCCTGCAGCTTTTCGTAGCCCCAATTTATAGTTTTTCTTGTGTCGACTGAACACTAAGTTTGCAGGAATATGATACATTTTGCTGCATCTGATAAGATAGCTGAGCAGAGGATGAGACTAGCTAGCCATTTTGCCAGACAAGACGAGCTTCTGACCCATCAGCTGATGGGAACCCCTGCGGACATCATCAAAGGGGAGACCACACCTCACCTATGTAGACATCCTGCGGCAGGACATAGACTTGACGCAGCAAAGAGATGAACAAGCTCATGCTGGATAGGCAGATTTGAAGAAAAATCATATCTGCTCGGCATCTTAGGGGGCGCCAAATTGTCCTTTGAATGTTAACTGCAGTACTAGCAAAACTGCCATTTTGCTCTAGAAAACAAGGGGAGGGGGCTCCGATAGGAGGGCGCTTTTTTTGGCAGGGGCACCAACATGCAACGTTACGCCACTGCTGCTTGGACATTGAAGCCGTCCTAAGTCGAAGTAAGTCGAGCTGCCTAATTGGATGATTCTTCATTAAAAAAGACCTACTATACAAGAAAAGAGTGCCACACAAACGCCACTTGTCTGTTCAAGTGTCAGATCGCACTATTTTTAATAGAAAAGTTGCATAATTGAGCCATTATGTGCCAACTCTCAAGGTGAGCTCTGCATTTTTTGTTTTTCAGGCAAATTTTCTTGACTAATTTTAAAATTGTTGATCATTTATTCAAATTCATTTTTTTAATCAATGACTATCCCTGAAAACCATCATAAACAATTACAACCAATTGCCAGCCATCAGAAATCTATTTTGGAACCCCCTACAATGGCCAAATTTGTCAAAAATGTGACAAAATCCTCTGATTTTTAAGTGTTCTTTAAGCACTTTCATTAGAAACGGCAGAGGTAAGAGCTTGCATTGGTCTGTGCAGGCCTCACAGCCGATTATTAGGTGATCAGGAAACCATTATTATAAGTTAAGAGAAGGCCTTGTCAAAAATTTCAAATCTTAAACTCCCCTGATCAACACTCCTAAACCCTAAAAGGTCACCGAGTGCTCATTGGGTGGCGGTCTAAATATAGGTCCATTTTAAACATCAAATGGCTTAAATGATAAGCAACAAAGCATTGTATGAAAGGTGCAAAGTTGAAAAGTTATCCAAGCGTATTGAACACCAGCGGTGGAAGATGTTTGGACACATTCTCAGGAGTATGGAGAACACCCAAGCCCAAACAGCTCTCTCTTTTGCTATTGAATCAGATAATTTATTCATTGGAAGATTGGGGAGACCTATACTAGAATGAACTTGTTATCTGTTTTAAGAAGTGATTTAAGTAGTAGAAATTTTCAAATGGACAACTTGCATGAATTGAACGAAATTTGAGATATAGCTGCATGCAACAGATGTTGGGAAAATCTGTTTCAAGGGTATAGTTTACCGCATTAAGGTATTTTTAAGAATCATTTTTGTCGGTAAGATCCTCTTTTATAATAATAATAATATATACTAAAGGCTAGACGTTTACTCTTCAGATCGGGATTATGACACTATATTTATAATTTTAGATTGATAGTCTTTAGCGTGCGAAGTAACTTTTTGTATCACGTCTTGACCCTCATTGTCGTTTCACTAAGCGTTTCTACAATACAGGGTGAGCCGCGCACTCGTGCGCGGCGGGTCATACAACGTATATGGACACGTTCATTTGAGTTTGAGGATATTGGTAAATATAAGTGATCCTATTAAAAGGCACAGTGTAGTTGACTTTTTCACACTATGAAATTACTTAAACCCTTGATGGTTAGGATAATCGTCTCATCCTCTAGGCTAACTTTGTCACATAACGATATCTTAATCAGGTGATAAGATATCGCTTAAATACGGCCGGCACGGAAATGGTTACATTGTCACACTATAAACATGTGACGGAGTAAATATGGACCCCTTGCTGCCGTTTTTGACCAAATTTTTGAGTGTCCAGTTGATTGGATGGGTACATATGACCATTACCTACATATTTGACGACTTTTTTCGTTAGATGGTGCATTCAGGTTTACTCTGTCACACATTAAAGAAAATATGTGATGAATGTTTAGGGCACCCTGATAAGCAATGCTGAGTAGTGTAAGTTTATTTGATGGCCTGGAAGTGCTGGGAATTGTTATTATATCATATAGTCGTAAGGAATTAAAACACAGAAGGCACAACCAAGCTTACTTTGTCACATAATCTTGATAATGTCTGAACATGTGTGAAATTGAACAAATAATGATATACCAGCTTAAACCCCTTATAGCATGTAATATTCAGATCAGAAATTTGTGGTTTATTGCATCAAAACTGTCTTTTAACCTTAAGATTCAGCTTGTTCATGCTCTAGTACTCTCTAGAATTGATTATTGCAATAGCGTATATTTTGGACTGAGCTCTTATGATTTAAGTCGTTTACAGAAGGTGCAAAATTCTGCTGTAAGATTTATTTTCGGGAGAGGAAGAAAGGCACACACTACTCCACTACTTAAGAAAGTTCATTTTCTACCAGTTAGATTTAGAATAGATTTTAAGATTGCCCTACTTGCCTACAAGTGTTTAAATAATATAGCTCCTCCTTACTTAAAAGAGTTGATATCTCCTAGGCAGCAAAGTTTTAAAAATGTACGTCTTGATAATGATTATTTTTACCTTAGTTTTCCACCCTCTCCTAACTATGTAAACACAGAGAAAGCTTTTAGTCACTGTGCAGTTAAAGTATTTAATTCCTTGCCATACGACATAAGATCAGCTGAGTCAGTTACATCTTTCAAGACCAAACTTAAAACATACTTCTTTTCTCTAGCATTTGATTGATTTTGCATTTACATAGGTAAAATGAACTTGTCATGTCTAATTTTCAATTAAACTAAGCTCAGTTAATGTAAGAGCCGCTTTAGAAAGCACTGGAGTTTATCTCCAGGATTAAATTATATCGAGTTATATGATTTAGCTATAAGGCGGTTTATAAATGTTGTAATTATTATTATTATTATATTATACGTACTATGGATCAAACAACACTGCTAGTACCATGCACCCCATAAATCATTATCAGGTGGTAATATGTTAACAGTGTCACAATTAAACTACCGCTACATGGTCAAAAATAGGGTAATTTCGTCACAACAAATTATTATAACTCTGTTAGCTCCTTGCTGGCAAAATAACTAGTTTATCGAAATTTTTTTGATGATAAAGTTACATAGTATTCTAATAGAGGTATAGTTCTTCAAAATAGGGGCAAGACATGTTTACTTTGTCACATCAGTTATTATAAGAGTTAGGTAATCGTCATCAGATTAAAAGATATTTTTCGTAATCGATTAATACTTTAATATACCTGTAATAAATCCTATGCCAATTTTAACACACTATCTTGATACTGTTGGGGCAGGGAAAGTTAATTTTGTCACATTTTCAATGTCTTTGACAAATTAATCTAAATTTTAAAAATTGAGTTCTTATGTTCTGGAAAATATTCTTCCAATCGTTTCTGAAAGAATGTTGAATTCTAATAGAGTTATAGATCTTCAAAATAGGGGCAAGACATGTTTACTTTGTCACATCAGTTATTATAAGTGTTAGGTAATCGTCATCACATAAACATATATTTTTTGTAGTTTGGATTGATACATATAGGTAATAAAGCAGCCTATGCTAATTTTTACACACTATCTTGAAATTGTTGGGGCATGAAAAGTTAATTTTGTCACATTTTTAGTGACTTTAGTGACAAATTTAGTGACAAATTTAACCTAAAATTGTTAAACTTAAGCTCTGATGTTCTGGACAATATTCTAATAGAGGTATAGAATATAGATCTTCAAAATAGGGGCAAGACATGTTTACTTTGTCACATCAGTTATTATAAGAGTTATTATAAGAGACTATTTCATTCTATAATCATTGTTTTTAATCTATTTACGATTTCGTATAATTTTTCGTGACAATGTAAACATCAACTGATCTTAACTTGCATCAACTACAATGTCATCATATAAAATTTTCCCGCCTTTCAAACCAAATCAGATATAAATTATTCGCCCAAAATTTTAAATTTCATATATTGTGACAGAATTAACCTCATTTCCCAATAACCAAGTGCCTGTATTAGCTAACTATTCAAAATAACATATTTTAGGGCTATGCTTGGTAGAGCAACCATAAAATAATGAGTTGAAAGGGTTTTTAGGACACCTCACAGTAGAATTGAGGTATGGTATCATGAGTGTGACAAAGTTACCCAAATATTGCCTTGTAACCGTTCGATCCGTGCCCATTAACCAATGTTGTATCATAATTGTTAGATTGACCTAATTTACTATATTTCAGACCAAGGAATGATAATTAGACAACTGCAGTTAACTAAGTCACACAAAATGTGACATTTGAAACATTATAGTGCCTAACAACAATAGATTTTCTTTCTGAGCGGTGCATATGGGAGTATGGGTTACGTGGCTAATGTTCAGAACTTCTGAACGTGCTAGGTTAATAGATGTCAAAATTAAGCCACTATCGTCAAAAACGC